ACGCAGAGGCCCAGAGACTCGCGGTCTGGACCCAGGGACTCCCCTGGTCCAGGGGTACCCGCGGTGTGAATTTGACGCGCGGGGGACAAAGGACCAGAAAGTTATGGCCCTTGGAAACCACCGGGGGACAGCGCGCCTGCCATCCGCCCAAGAGCGCTCCTTCTGGGGGAGGAGAACCTCGGCTTACATGGCTCGTAGAAAACGAACCATGAGGGCTAGAGACACGGGGTTTGGACCCACGCACTCCTCCGGACCTGGGCTACCACCGAGGCGGGCTTTGCTCCCGCTCAGATCCGGGCCTGGGCGCCCATTCCCGGGGGAAGTAAGCCCCGCTTTCCGGGCTCCTCAAAGCCTAAACACTTAGGTTTTTTTCTCAAAACACTTAGTCTGATTTTCAACGTGTGCCTGGTCCTACAGTCTAGACACTTAGGTTTTTTCTCAAAACACTTAGTCTGATTTTCAACGTGTGCCTGGTCCTACAGCCTAAACACTTAGGTTTTTTCTCAAAACACTTAGTCTGATTTTCAACGTGTGCCTGGTCCTACAGTCTAGACACTTAGGTTATTTTCTCAAAACACTTAGTCTGATTTTCAATGTGTGCCTGGTCCTACAGCCTAAACAACTTAGGTTTTTTTCTCAAAACACTTAGTCTGATTTTTTTTCTCAAAACAAGTGTGTGCCTGGTCCTACAGCCTAAACACTTAGGTTTTTTCTCAAAACACTTAGTCTGATTTTCAAAGTGTGCCTGGTCCTACAGCCTAAACACTTAGGTTTTTTCTCAAAACACTTAGTCTGATTTTCAACGTGTGCCTGGTCCTACAGCCTAAACACTTGGGTTTTTTTCTTTTCTCAAAACACTTTTGGTCTGAAATCAGCGGGGGACAGCGCGGCCGTGTCCGCTCACGAGCGCCTATTCTCGGTCAAGAAAGTGGCGGTTTCTCGGGCCCGTAGAAGGCGAACCACGGGGGCTAGAGACATGGGGTTTGGACCCACGCACTCCTCCGGACCTGGGCTACATCCTCCGTGAATTTCACTCATGGGAAATGAAAGACAAAAAAGTTACGGCCTGCGTAAAAGGGGCTTGAGCTCCAAAAGCGTGTGTGCCTGGGAATACAGGGAGAGCCTCCGGAAATTCGTTAAAAATCAACGCAGAGGCCCAGAGACTCGCGGTCTGGACCCAGGGACTCCCCTGGTCCAGGGGTACCCGCGGTGTGAATTTGACGCGCGGGGGACAAAGGACCAGAAAGTTATGGCCCTTGGAAACCACCGGGGGACCGCGCGCCTGCCATCCGCCCAAGAGCGCTCCTTCTGGGGGAGGAGAACCTCGGCTTACATGGCTCGTAGAAAACGAACCATGAGGGCTAGAGACACGGGGTTTGGACCCACGCACTCCTCCGGACCTGGGCTACCACCGGGGCGGGCTTTGCTCCCGCTCAAATCCGGGCCTGGGCGCCCATTCCCGGGGGAAGTAAGCCCCGCTTTCCGGGCTCCTCAAAGCCTAAACACTTAGGTTTTTTTCTCAAAACACTTAGTCTGATTTTCAACGTGTGCCTGGTCCTACAGCCTAAACACTTGGGTTTTTTTCTCAAAACACTTTCTGCACACCCACACATACACGTTTTTGTTACCTGGTGGGTCCCTTTGACAGGGCCGTTCAGAATGGGACCCATAGACATAATCTTTTTTTACCAAGACTTTAAGTAATACAAAACAGTCAATAGAAACCAAACAACTATTTTAAAGGAATTTTATTTTAGATTTTGTTTTCGAATTGCAGTGATTCTATTTTTGACATAGAATTTAATGCCACTCCATGTCCGATGTCTAAGGTCATCTGGTGAGGCATTAATGCAGGCCAGGCAGTGAGACTTCCCAGGGACCTTTCCAGTCTGTATGAAAGGTGTCATGGTCTTCTCCACAGCCTTCACCTCAGATGCAGACCATGGCTTTCTTACACGTTCTAGGGAGAGAAATAAAAATATATTAGCAATATACACTCCCAGGGTGAGGACCAAGCAGCCTGGCTGTAATCCCCCACCTGGTACACTTACCAGAAGGGGCACTGCCACTACCATGGGGTGCATCTGGATGAATGGTTGAAGGTTCTCCGCTTGAAGTTTCTTTTAGCCCGTCCGTTTGTGAGAGGATCTCTACTGCTCTCCCTGTCGCACAGAAAATAAAAATACAAGTGGCCTTTAGGGGAAAAAAATCATACATATTTTAATAATATCAAGAATTACCTTCAGGCTCAATTTGTATCTGGTCGAGGCTCTTTCCTTCGAATTCCGTCACTCTTCCCTGCTCCATGGCCATCAACACTTTGCTGATTTTGGCCAGCTCCAGTGTCCCCTCTGGTAGTCTGTAATATTGCCTGTGGATGCGAATGTCATGGCCGAGGAAGTTGGCAAGTATGTCCATCTCATTCTCTTTCATATTGAGAACTGTAGACATAGTAGCTATGTGCTTTCTAAGTTTGGTTGAGGATAGCATCTCTGGATGCACCGCACCACATTCTTTGGCTACCTGGCGTAGGGAGTCTGATCCCCTGATGTGGGTGTCTGCGCCCGGGCGGGAAAAGAAGTATGGGTTATGGTCAGAGATGGAACAGGCCCTTCTGTTCTCCACCAGCACCTCCATCGAAGCAATCATTTCAGGAGTCAAAAGAACCGGCACTTTCCGACTTCTTTTCCCTTTAATTTCAATGCGTTGAAAATGCTGACACAGCTTTTTCTCAAGTTGGGACAGTCCCAGAGCAATGTCAGAATGGATCCCAGTCTTACTTCTTAAGGTAAAGGCTGTCAGTGGCATCTTTGAAACCTCACCTTCCCTTCTTCGATTGAAAATGATGACCTCACAAAGAGTCAAAACTGCCAGTTTAGACCAATGCTTAGACGTTGGCTCACTTATTAGGGTTTGCACATATTCAGGTCGACATACCTCAATATGTGCATGCATGGCTCTAACGTCCTCAGTCAGAGGGAGCAGGTCCGGAGTGTTCCACTTGGCTTGCCGGAGGGTCTGTAGGGCAGCAGAAGAAACACAGACGTCCCACCTCTTCTCAAAAAGCAGCCGGCTTCGTTGGAGGTTTTTAATAAATAGTTCATCAACACAATGCTCCATTTTTGAGTCACATTCAAGAATATCTGCTAGCTTTCTGAGGCTATGGCCGAGTTTGAGGGCCAAGGATGGAGTCTTGTATTGATTTGTTTCCTCATCATATCCAGCCACAGACCTGACTGCATCAATCACATGGTTAAAGTTGGAAGGAATAAAGAAATCCTTAATTGTTTTCAGTTTCCCTGCGGTTTTTGCTTCGTTAATTAACCTACCGACTTCTCTCATTTTCTGCCTAATGTAATCATGCTTTGTCTTATCATGCCCGTGTTTTAAGTACAGGTGCTCTCCGAGTCTCAGAATCCCCTTTTCTGCTTTGACAACACCCGTGACCTCATCCTGATGCATTGCCGAAATTAAAGACCACAGCTTTTTGCTGATGCCCTCCGGTACAGGCTGGGCTAGGGAGCAGAGGGACTGGACCCTACTTCTACCTGGTTTAGCCTGGGCATCTTTCTGTGAAAGCCGGCACCTGGCCACATGCCTCCACAGCGACTTTCGCTTAAGCAATGCCCCACAGTCTATACAGTGCAAAAACTCACTGGATTTAACTGGGGAATTTGGCTGTTTAGCTGGGACTAAAGTTCCAATGCCGGCCTTTAAAACCTCAAAATTGTGCTCACGGTTTCCACTATTCCTGATCAAATCAAACTGAAGTTTACGTGCTTTAGATTTCACAGGTAGAGCCAATGCTCTGGCTACGTCACTTTCATTTCCATGTTTTCTAGTCAAATGACGGGACATTTTGTGGCAGGACATTGAACAGTAGAGGCAGAAGTGTCTCTTGCTGTATACTCGCCCCCCATTTTTCTTCTTTTGCAGCTGCATGATAACAATCTTATTTGCCTTTGGTTCGTCACTTTCCGAGTCTTGAAGAAAAGTGTTTTTGATTTTTCTTTTTCCATACTTTTTTACAGGTTTCTTCTTGACAGTTAAATCGTCAGAATCTGAGTCGACTTCATCAATTAGGGACTCTTGACTAAGCTGCACAAACAACAAATAATTTGTAATCATTCTATATAACAATTTGAAGTCATGACTTGTAGTCAGCACTTACCAGTGGTTTGTAAGCGTGCGCTTCAGTGTGCTCCTCCATGATTTCTTGCAGCCTAATGAACCACACACTTGCACCTTTTTCTAGCCTGACACCTGATTTCCTCTGTTGTGCTGCTCCATGATTGGCTCCAGCCTGCTGGACTGAAATTGCCCCAGTGTGCCCCTCCTTGATATCCCGCAACCCACCACCAGGGTTCCGACACATAACACACTTTTTTCAGGAAAGTAAACCTCCAGGGGTCCTTTCCATATTTTTACAGAGACTGCATAAGGACCGTTAGAAAAGCATTACCCATTGATTATTAAGCTTGGACCAGTGGGGTCCGGTGTTCGGGCCCCACCACGTAAAACCAGTCCCCATGACGTGAGTGGAATCTCAGGTTATGGAACCCACCAGGAGTTGAAAACAAGTGCACACACACACACACACACACACACACACACACACACACACACACACACACACACACACACACACACACACACACACACACACACACACATACACACACAGACACACGCCCACTTGTAAATATTTGTCCGTACGTCTACACTTGCATGGTATTGTACGGAAGCTTATTGCATTCACTTTGAATAAAAACGTTTCTGTTTTTATGAGACAATAAAAACAAAAACTGTACTCATAAAAACAGAAACGTTTTTAATTTCAAGTGAATGCAATAAGCTTCCGTAGTATTGTCTATTTTTTCACAATAAAATAGAAATGAAAAAAAACAAAAAGGAAGTTGATGTGACAACCGGAAGTAGACGTGACAAGCAGGAAGTAGACGTGACAAACAGGAAGTAGACGTATTGATGTTTGTGCAGCGATGGCGTCCGCGGAGGCTGTGTCGCTGCGGGGCTCGGACATCACGGACCCCGCGCTGCTGTTCGAGCGCTACGGCACCGATGACATCCGCCTGGTGGAGAGGACCGTCCGGGGGGACATCGAGCACAAGAAGGAGGAGCTCCGGCAGATGGTGGGAGAGCGCTACAGGGACCTGATCGAAGCCGCAGACACCATCGGGGACATGAGACACAGCTCCGAGAGTCTCCTGGAGGCGGTGCGGGCCGTGTGGAGGTACTGCGAGGGGCTGAAGGGCAGCGGCCGCCTGCCAGCCCGGACGGTATGTTCCTCACCTGTGCCAGGAACTAACCCACGGACTAATCCAGGGACTAATCCAGGGACTAACCCAGGATCTAACCCACGGACTAATCCAGGGACTAACCCAGGATCTAACCCACGGACTAATCCAGGGACTAACCCAGGATCTAACCCACGGACTAATCCAGGGACTAACCCAGGATCTAACCCACGGACTAATCCAGGGACTAACCCACGGACTAATCCAGGGACTAACCCACGGACTAACCCACGGACTAACCCAGGAACTAACCCAGGAACTATCCCAGGAACTAACCCACGGACTAATCCAGGATCTAACCCACGGACTAATCCAGGGACTAATCCAGGGACTAATCCAGGGACTAACCCAGGAAATAACCACGGACTAACCCACGGACTAACCCACGGACTAACCCACGGACTAACCCACGGACTAACCCACGGACTAACCCACGGACTAACCCATGGACTAACCCACGGACTAACCCATGGACTAACCCACGGACTAACCAGGAACTAACCAGGAACTAACCAGGAACTAACCAGGGACTAACACAGTTCAAAACCCCAGGACCAAACTAGGACTGAACCAGGTCTAAACCCCAGGACCAAACTAGGTCTGAATCATGTCCCTGCGAGAGTCAAGTCACTTTGCTCCTCACTGAGCATAGTGACTGGCACTAACATATTTCAGTTGTACACAAGCAGAGCTGCTGTTAAGTCTATTGTCTGAGCCACAGGAAGCCAGTGCAGAGACCTGAGAACTGGTCCAATGTGGTTGTACTCGAGCTGCAGGAGCTGCAGCTCTTGTATGAAGCTAAAATAACACTGTGGTTGTAGCTTTCAGCAGCTCCTTTTGCTTCGTCCTTGTAAAAGATGATGTTTATAAATGAGTCATTAATTTGCCGCATGTGTTTTTGTGAATTGTTCAGGCCGGCTCTCAGTGGCAGCAGCCCTTCTTCAGCCTGGCCGCACAGATCTCTCTGCTCCTGGACATCCCCGAGCGTGTGTGGAGTGCTCTGGAGGCGGCTCAGTACCTGCGGGCCACACAGCTCTACCTGCTGAGCTCGCACTTGCACAGCCAGCTTCAGCTGCATGGAGACCGCTACAGCCCTGTGCTCACACGCTTTCCCATCCTGGTGCGCCAGCTGGCCACTACGGCACACTTCAGGTGAGCCAGAGGCTGCCTCAGCACTAAAAACTATCATCACAATATTGTTATTTTGTATGTGTTTTACTGGTTGTGTCAGTGAGTGTGTGTGTCTGGATGGATGTTGGACTGGGACTGTTGTCTGCAGGGTGAAGCTCTTGTGAAGGACATTTTTGTACAAAGTGCGCTCTACAAACGAACATTGATTGATGGATTAACGCCATGATGGTGTTGGTGCTGTGCAGGTCCAGTATCCTGGTGGACAGTCGCTCGGTGCTCAGGGGCCGGGCTGTGTCTGACCAGGCCATAGCTGAGGCTCTGGTGTCCAGCATGCTCCTGGAGGGCAGCTCCCCACGACAGGCCCTCTCCTACTTCCTGCTGGCTCGCAAGGGCTCCATCCAGCAGCTGCTCACCCACCCCCAGCACGGTACCTCCACACACTTCAGAAAGATCAGGTCAACATCATCCTGTTGCATCATAGCAAGGAATCTTATTATGAGGATTATAGTCATTTCCATTCACTCTGTTGCATCATTTAGAAACAGGGAAAAGGGGATCCGTATAAGAGAAAACAATGAAGCTGATGCTATTATGTCGGAGTTCTTTTGGTAATTTAAACAAATTATAATAATCAGGCACGTGATGGTTTTGCTAAAGCCTTTTTAGAATTGAGTGCAGAGTAATTAAAGTGTGAACCATGTTTGCATTGCAATAATCTAAAAGTGTGTGTCTGTGTGTGGGGTTGTGTGTCTGTGTCTGGTTGTCTGTTGGGTTCAGGCGCAGGGATCAAGGGTCAGGTGTGTAGCCTGGTGGAGCTGCTGGTCACCACTCTGTTCCAGGCCTACGCTGTGTTCTACCTGCCTCCAGAGGGCAGCCCCAAGCCGCCTGAAGGAGCCCTGAGCTGTGGCCTGCTCTTCTCCACCATCCAGAGCGTCACCACGGCTCCCGGACCAGGTCTGCACTTCACCTCCTCCTCGGGCAACTTTGACATTTCTTTATTCTTTTCATTCAATCACTGGTCTCAAAAGTGATGGTACTTCCTGGTTCTAGCCAGGACTCGAGCTCCATTACATTTTGTCTGGAGGTAATGGAGTGTGAGGAGTTTGAAATGAAGAAGGAAAACACTGATGTATGACAATAATGATTGTTTATAACTGTATTAAAAAAAAAAAAGTTTAATGTAGATTAAACATTTTGCTGATATTATTTGGCAAAGCAAATTAAGTTTTACCTACGTGAAAGCGGGTCCGACCCTCCACGACATTGAGATTTCCTGATGTAGAGATTGGTTGCCTCTCTTCTGTCAGTGTGCCCCAGGGCAGCTGTAGCTTCAGTAGTAGTTTATCACCACAGTGTACAAAGTGAATGAATAATAACATGTGAAGCATCTGTGAGTGTCCAGAAAAGCACTGAATAACCAAGAATAACCAATGCTTTATTATTATTTAGTTCATGTGAATCATTTCTTCTGGTTAAACGTGTATGATGTAATAAATCCTTCTCCATCCTTCTTTGCCTCTCAGGGCTCTGTCTAAGTCTGAGGACGTCTAAAGTGTTGGTTTGTCCTGTTCTCAGGTGAAGCCCGGAGCGTCTTGCAGGACCACAGCAGCACCGGAGGATGGTCCAAGCACCTGCCCCCGTCCACCCTCCACTTCCAGCCCTCCCTCAAGACACTCGCCCAGCCCATCCAGTGCAGCCACCTCCGGGACGCTCTGCAGCAGTGGATCCACACGTGAGTGACCCCGAGTCTGACCCCGAGTCTGACCCCGAGTCTGACCCGGAGTCTGACCCGGAGTCTGACCCGGAGTCTGACCCGGAGTCTGACCCGGAGTCTGACCCGGAGTCTGACCCGGAGTCTGACCCGGAGTCTGACCCGGAGTCTGACCCGGAGTCTGACCCGGAGTCTGACCCGGAGTCTGACCCGGAGTCTGATGAGTGCATTATATTATCAGAACAACAGTACAACCAGTACAACACATGTTGATAATGAGGCGGTACAATTTATTTTTCAACTGTGCAGATCTTGAGCCAAATGGAATCAAATGAGACCAATAGTAGTTTTGTTGAAGAAAATTCCATTTTGATAGTTTGTTCATTCCACAGTCCTGTTGCATTGGGGAGTTTAGAGGTGTATAAGCCTGATGTCCTCTCCTTCCCCTGGTCCTGCTCCAACTGAATAGTGTTGAGCTTTAGCAGTTTTGGAACTACTCCCTTTGAGAGTGATAAAACGCACAAACTGGGCAGAGCTGTGCAGAGCCGAGCCTTATATGTTCTGTGTGGGCGAGCATAAGACCATCTGAAGGAGCGCTTCTGACCGACTCAGACTGTACAATGAACACTAATGTATGTGTGCCATTTGCCAATAGTACATGATATCATGAATGTGTCCGTCGACAATCCTCTTTATCTGTTGTTTATTCTGCCAATGTTGCTATGCTAAGCTAATACATGCTGTACACAGTTGTAGGTAACCCTTGAAAAATCTTTCAATGAGCAGGAAGACGATATATTTTGGTCTCAATCTTTATGGTCTGTACATTTGTTAGTGTTTAAAAGTATGTGTTGTGTGTGGCAGCTGTCAGGAGGACATGGCGGTGGGCGTGGCCTCTCTGCTGGTCTATGTGAAGAGCCTGAAGGGCCTGGCTGCGATCCGAGACGCTGTGCTGGAGCTGCTGTGCACCGAGGCCATCAGTCAGCACTGGGACACTGTGTGTGAGAGTCTGCTAGAGCGCCGCCTGCTGGTCTGGGACCACTTCCTGGAGCAGCTCTTTCTCCACCGCCTTCAGGTCTCATTTAATTAAATAAGTTACATAATGGCGTGAAAACTTGCAACTTTTATCCAATAGTGATCAAATGATTGCGATATAAGCTATTTGGGCGCACACCATTCATATGAGAGGTTGTCTATTTAGAGAATAATGATGTCTTTTGATAAGGTCCTGTTTTCTGAATGTTAATGTGCAGACCATGATAACTGTGACATGTCTTATTTTGTAATGCCTTGGAATAATATGAGGGACAATTTATCGCAGAATCCAATCACAATACTTGTTGTATTACAATTTGTTCAGGATTGCAATAAAATAATACTATCAAATTGTCAGATTTTGGCCAATCCCCAGCCCTCATAATCCAGTGCAGCAACATGTACTTTGTCTACTAGACTCAACTGGAATGCAAATTTTTCAGGCTATCACTAAAGAAGAGACTGAAAGGATCTCGAACAGCTGTGTGACTCTGCTCAGCTCTACTCTGAGTGACCTGGAGGGCTCCTCTGCGGCCCCTGGGGCTCAGATGGAAGCAGACGTGGCTTCTTTCCTCTGGTCGGAGAGTGCGGGGGACCTCCACTCTGACGCCGGCTGGGTGAGTGTGGCCCAGAGAGGACCGCAGCAGCGCAGTGGTCTGGCCATGAAGACCCAGGCCCTCACCCCCTGTGTGCAGAGCGTGTGCTCCACCCTGGACACTCAGCTCAGAGCCAGACTGGACGATCTGCAGCACTACCTGGATCCTCAGGAGTCTGGTGAGGCTCTCCTCTGTGCACTGCTCTTTCTAAAGCCGGGCTGTTTAAATGTTTTAGTAAGAGTTACTACGATGACCCCTGCTCCTGACAGAGGCAACAAAGGATGGGTCAACAAAGTATAACTTGAAATGACTGTTGGGCAAGTTACTTACAGTCCTAATACATTGTTGTTAGTTATTTCAAATTAATGTGTTACACTACAATATTACTGTCTCTGAATTACATACTACTGCATTACTTTTACGTCACTTTCACCAAATATATGAATACAAAGTAAATGTAGCTTATGATGCTATTGTGTGAAGTTGATGTAGCTTTTGGACTGATGTGGAACTCTTAAGCCTAGCGTACATCGACAGAGAAACTGGGGACAACTAGTTGCAAGGCGGCTTTTGGCAACTGAGAGGAGATGGTGGGAGATGATCAGTTGCCGAAATCGGTCGATGTGCGCGCTCTTACAACTGGAGATGATCAGTCGGTCTCCAGTTCCAGTCAGTTGCCCGTGTTCTACTTTTCGGCAACTAGTTGTCCTCAGTTGCCCCGATGTGCGCGCTCCATGCGCCGCTCCAACAACGTGTGTGTATCGCGTGTATTGCGAGCCCGCAACAGTTTGTTGTCAGAAAACACATTGTGGTTGAGGCCAGTTGCTGTCGATGTACGCGCTGTTATTCAAGAGACTGGCCTGCGACTCAGAGTTGCCCGTTTTCGCCAGATTGTCGATGTGTGCGGGGCAGCAACTCAGAGGCGACGGATATAATCAGTTGCCAGTCCGATGTACGCTAGGCTTTATGTTCCACATCTTGGTCTCCAACAAACTTTAGATAATGGGAGAAAGATTGTCTTAATGATGTACTATTGTTGACGTAGATCCTGCTCCAGCTTTAGCTGTCCTCTACCAGAGAAAAAAAACACTTATAGAAGGCCACTATTGGTACAGATTTTTTTCTCTGCTGAACTTGTGGTGGCATAGTATAAAAACAAAACACAATTTAATTATGAGTTATAGTGCAATGTAACACACATTGCCGACCTTTGTACTGAGTAAAATATTACCCAGGTTTCTTTTGGAATATCTTACATTGCTGCGTTAGAGAAAAATAAGCATTGAAATAATTACATTACTTTAGTAAAGTGACTCCCAACACCGGTTACCGTTAGCAACACTCTGACCCTGATCACATCTCACTCGTGCTGATCTCTAACCTTCTCTTGTTTGTGAACAGAGTCCGGGTCGCGTCCGTTGGGGGTCCAGAAGGAGGCGTGTCCAGCTGAGGAGGCGCTGCGACAAGGCAGTGTGGCGTGTGTGCGTCACCTCCTGCACTTCATCCACACTCAGCTCTCCCCTCTCTCCCAGGAGGCGCGCCCACACCAGCTCACTCCGGTCCTGTTCTTGGCTCGTCTTTGCCAGTCCGTAGCAGAGCTTTGTCCCTCTCTGAAGCAGTGCATTCTGGGTAAAGAAGCTGAGTCAAAGCCCACCCCCAAAGGCCCCCCTCGACAAAGCAAAGTGCCCCGGGGCCGACAGGCGGAGGCCAGTCCTGCTCAGGCTCAATGGGTTCTGGTCAAAGAAGAACTCCTCCAGTGCAGCCTCGAGGCCTACGGCATCTGGAGCCGGGACCTGTCCCAGGTCTGAGGCCAGGATCCAACTGTTATCCAGGACTAGGTTCACCTGGTCTCCTCTTCTGGTCTCCTCCCCTGGTCCTACCTGTGGTCTCCTCCTCCTAGTCTCCTCTCCTGGTTGGCTCTTCTGGTCATCTCCTCTGGTCTCCCTCTCTCCTGATAAACTCCTCTGGTCTCCTCCTCTGGTCTCTTCCTCTGGTCTCTTCCTCTGGTCTCTTCCCCTGGTCTCCTCCTCTGGTCTCCTTCTCTGGTCTCTTCCTCTGGTCTCCTCCTCTGGTCTCTTCCCCTGGTCTCCTCCTCTGGTCTCCTCCTCTGGTCTCCTCCTCTGGTCTCCTCCCCTGGTCTCCTCTGCTGGTCTCCTCCTGGTCTCCTCCTCCTCTGGTCTCCTCCTCCTCTGGTCTCCTCCTCCTCTGGTCTCCTCCTCCTCTGGTCTCCTCCTCTGGTCTCCTCCTCTGGTCTCCTCCCCTGGTCTCCTCTGCTGGTCTCCTCCTGGTCTCCTCCTCCTCTGGTCTCCTCCTCCTCTGGTCTCCTCCTCCTCTGCTCTCCTCCTCAGTGGTGAGATGTAGTGGTTATGTGTCCAGGTTCTACTGCACAGTTTTGGCTCCTCTCTCCAGTCTCAGTCCGCAGGCTCGGTGCTGACCTGCGCCACCTGCTGGGAGGACCTGGAAATACAAGAGGAGACTGAGTCAGGCCGCAGCATCACATCCACCATCCGCCTGCCTGCCCAGGTGTGTGTGTGCGTGTGTGTGTGTGTGTGTCTGTCTGCCTGCCTGCCCAGGTGTGTGTGTGTGTCTGTCTGCCTGCCCAGGTGTGTGTGTGTGTGTGTGTGTCTGTCTGCCTCCCGGCCTGTGTGTGTGTCCGTCTGTCTGCCTGCCCAGTGTCTGTGTGTGTGTCTTTTTGCCTTTGTGTGTGTCCATCTGTCTGTCTGCCTGTGTGTGTCTGTCTGCCACTGGTGACCTGTGTGGTGTCCTGTGTATGTTCTGTGTGGTGTCCTGTGTGGTGACCTGTGTGTTGTGTGTGGTGACCTGTGTGTGTCTTGTGTGGTGTCCTGTGTGTTGTGTGTGGTGTCCTGTGTGGTGTGTGTTGTCCTGTGTTGTGTGTGGTGTCCTGTGTGGTGTGTGTGGTGTCCTGTGTTGTGTGTGGTGACCTGTGTGGTGTGTGTGGTGTCCTGTGTTGTGTGTGGTGACCTGTGTGGTGTGTGTGGTGTCCTGTGTGTGTCTTCTGTGGTAACCTGTGTGTTTTGTGGTGACTTGTGCGGTGTGTGTGGTGACCTGTGTGGTGTGTGTTGTCCTGTGCGGTGTCCTGTGTGGTGTGTGGTGTCCTGTGTGGTGACCTGTGTGGTGACCTGTGTGGTGACCTGTGTGGTGTCCTGTGTGGTGTCCTGTGTGGTGTCCTGTGTGGTGTGTGGTGTCCTGTGTGGTGACCTGTGTGGTGTCCTGTGTGGTGACCTGTGTGGTGTCCTGTGTGGTGTGTGGTGTCCTGTGTGGTGACCTGTGTGGTGTCCTGTGTGGTGACCTGTGTGGTGTCCTGTGTGGTGTGTGGTGTCCTGTGTGGTGACCTGTGTGGTGTCCTGTGTGGTGTCCTGTGCGGTGTCCTGTGTGGTGACCTGTGTGGTGTCCTGTGCGGTGTCCTGTGCGGTGTCCTGTGCGGTGTCCTGTGTGGTGTCCTGTGTGGTGTCCTGTGCGGTGTCCTGTGCGGTGTCCTGTGCGGTGTCCTGTGTGGTGACCTGTGTGTTGTGTGTGTGGTGACCTGTGTGTTGTGTGGTGTCCTGTGTGGTGACCTGTGCGGTGTCCTGTGCGGTGTCCTGTGTGGTGACCTGTGTGTTGTGTGTGTGGTGACCTGTGTGTTGTGTGGTGTCCTGTGTGGTGACCTGTGTGGTGTCCTGTGCGGTGTCCTGTGTGGTGACCTGTGTGTTGTGTGGTGACCTGTGTGGTGACCTGTGTGTTGTGTGGTGACCTGTGTGGTGACCTGTGTGTTGTGTGTGTGGTGACCTGTGTGGTGTGTGTGTGTTGTCCTGTGTGGTGACCTGAGTGTTGTGTGTGCTGCAGCCCTCGTGGTTCGTACAGAGCCTGTTGTTCCAGTTGTGTGTGGAGGTGAACAGAGTGGGGGGTCAGGCTCTGCCTCGGACCACGCTGCAGGAGCTGCTCCAGACCTGCCTGAGCGAGGTGCTGCGGTGCTACTCCCAGATGAGGAAAGACACGCAATCTACGGTACGACCTACTGCTAGTGTGCAACTCTCTTCAATTTAGTTGATTCACCAACACAGATCATAGAATCAAACAATTCAAACACAAGTAATGCAAAGATTAAAATCACATAGAGCCATTGGTCCTTAATGTTAGCTCAATAAACACACAGGTTTATGGAAACGATGTTTACTCCATCACGATAGCAGACAAGGGAATACAGTCTCGTGTGAGCATCAACATGAACACCCAAACATCGCGATACTATCACCGCTCCTCATTTGTGCACATAGAAACATAGCTTAAAGGAGCAATATGTAATATTTGCATGCCAAGTCATCATTAAAAACCTGAATATTTCAAAAGGCATTAATAAATCATGTTCTTTTCAAACACATCTTTAACTGATAACAGTAGTTCATCCGAGATATTTGAATATCAAAATTAGTTTTACGACCCGTAAAAGTTGTTATTGTTTGGATTTTGATGTCCTACCCTCCGCCGTTTCGCCAACCAGGAAGTGTCATGTAAGTCCGTGATCGGGTTGCCAGAACTCTGCGCGGCTCGATAATCTCAGTGGTAAAATAACATGTGGCGCAGAACTAAAAAAGGTCTTATTATGACTCTCAAATAATTAATGACAAAACATAGACTAATACGAGGATTTATATCGGGATGCCTTTGAACAATTGAGACAGCTGATAAAAGTTTACGTGTGATGCAGAATTTGCTGGTTTGATTCCGTTCTTCAGAGTAGCTTTCTAGCGCGAATCGGTGGTTGAGTGGTTAACACTACGCGCTCACAATGCAGTAACTCGGGTTCGATTCCGGAGAAAGTCTTTTTGTATTTAATTGCATGTTATCACATTCTATGACAATTGCTCTAAATACGGTAAAAGACGAAGGTCAAGACGTTTTTTGCAGATTATAGCTTAATTGTAAAAAGAATCATTTGAGACCACATGTACCCAATTAAAATAATGTTAGTCTCTTTTTGATGTGGGACTTATACAAAAATAGGGAATAAATAAAATGTAAAGGTGATATCCTCTGGAGCAAACACTGATGTTGATACGCTGAAGAACATCCATTCTTCCCACTCCTATTTTGGACATCAATTGCTTATTTATTTTGGATAATCTATAAATACATTGCTTTTATTTTGTTTTTTGTTTTTTATCTCAAATAATAATAAAAAAAATGAACATTCATTCAACATTAGCATGCCTCATGGCAATGTGAATGGAGACAGACAAACAACTGATAAAATAATCCCCTGTGTTTTCTGCTGGATTTGGTGTGTATCTGGCAACCTGAGTCAGGGAGAGTGGGAGAGGACTACAAAATATTGACTGTGACTGCAGTACCACTTTTGGCCAGATTTTTACATATTGTTCCTTTAACAATCTCCCCTTTTTTTCTTTTAAAAAGTGCAGTACCAATGTAGAACATAACATACAACAAATGTATCACATTAAATGTATTTGTTCAGTTTTTTAGCTGGCAGACACCTTCACCAAGTGCCTTAAGAAGACTCAGTGCAGATGCCCCCTTCTTTGTCAAGCAATTGGCCAGCTGCTCTTTGGTGTCTGACCATAGGATCTGCTGAATAGTCCCAGAGTGTAGAAGTTCTTTTATACTGATAATCTCAAGACGCAGTCTCTTCTCAGTGACAGATTTTGTTGATTTGACAGCATCCAGAAGAGAATGATTGTCTGTGACGCACACAATGGGAACAACTTTGGATTCACAGTCCCCGGTGGTGATTTCAGAGTATAGTGTAGCAAGGAAAACTGCTCAATCCCATCTGCAAGTGCCAGAGTTTCTCCCGCTAAGTACTCCGGGCAACTCTCCTGATCCTGTTGGACTGCCAGGAGATAGGGGGGAGCTTTCCGTTGTTCACACCCACTTGGCATTGGGGGGAATGCCCACGGCCTATGGTGCCCTCCATCTGAGAGGTTTCCCCAAGGGGGGAAGCAGCGGTGTGGCCACAGTTGGTCGGTTGAGAGCGTTGTCCGCTATGGGATGCCTGAGCCGCAGCAGTGGGCAGGTTTAAGACTGATGTGTTAATGGGAGCTGGCCTCAGCAAGATAATGCGCGCAGTGCAGAGCTATGGGACTGTGGGCAGGCTTAGGGCTGCAGGGGCCGAGATGTGAATTAGCGTGCAGCATCATAATGTCTGGGCGCGACGTCGAGGCAGGCGGACCCACATATGTTTGTCCAATCTTTGAGGCTTCAGGATCATGTCCATTTCATTTTCTGTCAATGCAGCTTCTCGCTGTGATGCACTCTGGTGGGGATCAATGGCAATAGGTTACAAATGTTTGAATGTATGCTTTCTGTTGCACTTGTATCTCGTCCTTTACAGAAGAACTTCCCATTCCAATTTAGCTGAAGTTGGTGTGCTCTTCACACGTCCAACTTGAAAGGCAGTTTTTAGCTGAGGGATGACAAGATGAGGAGAAAAAATTGGTTCCGCCCCAAATAAAGTCATCCACGTGAGATGCGAGGATTCCCTTTACCCTGGCCACACCGATCACCGATCAAGCCAGTAAAATACAGCTGGGTCTACCTTGGACACTCGGGCTCCCAACTGCTGGCATGGTGTCTCTGACTCTATGATACAATACAAAGAAGCAGAGGTGTGGACTCGAGTCATGTGACTTGGACTCGAGTCAGACTCGAGTCATGATTTTGATGACTTTAGACTCGACTTGACCAAATGTAAAAAGACTTGCAACTCGACTTGGACTTTAACATCAATGACTCTGACTTTCACTTGGACTTGCGCCAATTGACTTGCAAAGACTTGCGTAACCCGGGCCATTTTTACCTTTCTCCGCATCTCTCTTTCTATCTATGCCGTCTCTGAAGAAACAAAGCCTCGCGGTAGTTGTAGCGCTCGCGCGAGAGTTCGAACGTGAGTTCCAGGCAGTTCGCGCAGCAACACTTCCCTAAACAAGCGGACTGCATTCACCGGTGGGTGTGTTGTCTAGGGGAGCTGGAAATGAGCGAGCTGCAGGTATTTATCGCGACCTAACGTCATATTTTGTTCTACAAACCGTAATTGATATGCTTTCACTACAGGCGCCTCATACAATTGAATCGACGCAGTTGTGTCACACTGTGTGCCGTGTTTTAAAGAGGAACTGGTGAGTCAAACTAGCGCTAGCCTGCGCTGCTCTGTTGGCTCTTTCTTATATTTTTCTGTGTGGGCGCCGAGGCCTATTATTATGAGTATGTTTTTGCTGTGCTCCTCCTGCTAAAGTTTGCATACATTAGATAGTTGTTTTGATTATGTGCACTAAGCTAGATTAATATTTGCACTATTGTTTATGGTTCATTGATATGAGAATCAGTACTTTGACTGATTGAATTAATTTATATGAGACATTTTATTATGTAATGATATATTGGTAATTATGAGATATTACTAATGCTGGCCCAGTTCATACAGGCCAGGTTCCTTCCCCTCCATTGGTCCCTTCAGTCCTTTGGAACAATAACCACTATGGACATTAAACTGATTATATAGATACAGGTCCTAGCCCAATACTCATATTCATATATGCTGCACTTGCTACTTCCCATTAAAAACCCCAAAGATAAAAAGTATGTTGACACGGACTGCTCTGATTTTATGTGTGGTCTGTGCATGTGTAACTGAGCCTGCATCTGGCACAACATCCAATTAGATCACGTAGATAGTTTTGATTTACCAGCAGACAACGACATGGAACAAACTGTTAGTCCATGGGTCAGAGACCAACGAGAATGCACCAGCAAAATGATTCCTAACATTATTTTGTTTGCCTACAAAAGTACGTGGAGACCAACAAGAAACAAATCGCGGTCAAAAAGACTCGAGAGGACTCGAAAGTCAAACCGTAGGACTTGGGACTGACTTGAGATTTGTTGGCCTTTGACTTGGACTCGACTCGGGACTTGCCTGTCTTGACTCGTGACTTGACTTGGGACTTGAGGGCAATGAATTGAGACTGACTTGTGACTTGCTGAACAATGACTTTGTCCCACCTCTGCAAAGAAGCATCTGTGAGACCATAAACACACTTCTTCAATTTCCATACATTTCCTTTGCTCTGTGTGTATGTTTTACCTTGCAAAAATGCTGCTTTAATGTCTATAGAGTTAAGCTCCCATTTGTTTTGACTTACTACAGCCATAATAATTTTCAGTGATTCTGTAGCACACGTGGGTGAGTCTTTCTGTAGGCTTTGACTGTTCAGCTCTTCAAAGCCCCTTGCTACTAGCCTTTAGGTTTTCACAGGAGCCTTTAGGTTTTCACAGGAGGAGCTGACCAACTATTGGCTTGTTTTTTGGCTTGCTGTACCTTGTACATGTTTCACAATTTTGGACAATTCTCTTGAGAATATCTATACTTTCTTTGTCCTGAGTGCCTGCGCAGGTGAGAAGCTTCTGCAACCTTTCAGCGGAGGCGTGTCCAAACTGCCTGTGTAGTTTCAAAAGGATTTTTTCCTTTTCTTTTGTGCTCATGTCCTCTTTAACAATGAGTACCTCTTCTTCATTTTGAGTTTCCTCTTTACTCTTATCTCTCAAGTTCACACAATAATGTCCAGAAGATGTCAGCTCAAGTTTAACTGGCTGTTTAAACATGGTGGCTTTGTCACATGCAATGTCTAATATTGCACTGGCCCTTTTTAGTGATGCCTTGCTCAATAGCATGGGAATGTTTGCAGGAACAACTTCTGTTTCTATTTTGCATTTAGTCTGACCAATTTTTGCAGGTAGTGTAACTTTTCTTGTAGAATGAACCACTTTCCCATCGCCAAATCTAAATGGTCTTGTACTTGTTTCTCCAACTATCTTTTGTAACTCACATTGTGGTAGTCCTCGTGTATAATCTTCAAGCCATTTCTCACCACACACTGTTCTTGTACAAGCTGTGTCAATCACTGCTGACCCTAGAGCCTCCACCATGAAGATGTCTGTGTCTGAAAGAGTCTCATTTGAAAACAAAGTGATATTGCACTCCTCATATTCACTTTTTTGTCCTTCATCTTTAATTATCTTCACATGTTCCTTTTTGTTTGGACAGTTTCTTGCCCAGTGAAATGTGCTCTGACAAACAGCACATTTTGTTCTTCTGCCAAGTTTATCGAGTGGGTTTGTTCCTTGCGCCACCGCTTGACTTTGTTGATAGTTTGATTTACCGTCTCTCTTCCCAGTGTATCGTGTGTAATAGGCGCACTCGCTGTCAGCCGTTTGCGGCTCACTGCTGCCCTCTCGTGGTGATGTGACGTCTCCAAAAATTATTTTCAATGCAGATTTCATATCAACAAATGTGACGGTGGGGCAGGCTGTAAGTGCTAACTGTTTGTCTTTTATGTTGAGACCGGCCGTATCTAGCAACTTAAATGCTAGCACAGCATCTGGGAGCTCCATTTTAAATTTACGCAGTCTGTTGTAACAGCGCTCAAACTCCACTATATAGTCCACCATAGACACGCCACTGTGTCTAGTTACACGATCAAACTCTGTGTACGCCTCATACTGGCGATCTTTTTCTTCTTTAACTCATTGTGTCCCATTGACGCATTAATACGTCAAATGCCTTTTTCGCTATTTTCACGTTCCCAGATGTCTATTGTATCTAATATGTATGGGGATGACTTGAGACCATATTTTATCGAGCCAGCAGGTGGCAGCATTTCTCTCTGAATGGTTTGAAAACAGTTAGGTGCACATGTTATGCCTCTTTTTTTCTCAACTTTCTGGTGATTTCAGTAAAACTTCCCTCTACTCGACGGAGGATTACAGGGGAACGAAAACAGCTATAAACAAAATTCAATGAATTGGCATTCAATGAGTTAAGAATCACAGAGTCCAATTTTGCCAAAAGTGCGGCCATACCAGTGTCAGCATTCAAATCACCGGCGGGAATTTCCAGCACACTTTCCCTCGCGCGCCCCGCTAACGACAAGCTAACGGCTAGCGCTTGTTTCTTCTGGTCCAAATCTGTGACCAACCTCCAGATTTCAATCTCATTCTTCCAAGTTTCATATGACGTTTTCTCGTCAAATGGCGGCGGGATCTTGTAGTTACCACCAGCAGCCATCCTCTGCTACCAATGTTACCTCAATATGGAAAGGATGTTTACTCCATCACGATAGCAGACAAAAGTGAATACAGTCTTGTGTGAGCATCAACATGAACACCCAAACATCGCGATACTATCACCGCTCCTTATTTGTGCACATAGAAACATAGCTTAACACTTGAGGAGCAAAAACCATTGTCCATGAATGTTGAGTTTCCTGCATCATCAACACTGTCCTTCGACCCTCCTGCAAGTAACAGAGATCTGCTTCCACGGACGGACGGGCTGTAGATCCAGGACTCAGGCTGTAGAACGAGGACTGAGGCTGTAGATCCAGGACTCAGGCTGTAGAACGAGGACTGAGGCTGTAGATCCAGGACTCAGGCTGTAGAACGAGGACTGAGGCTGTAGATCCAGGACTCAGGCTGTAGAACGAGGACTGAGGCTGTAGATCCAGGACTCAGGCTGTAGAACGAGGACTGAGGCTGTAGATCCAGGACTCAGGCTGTAGAACGAGGACTGAGGCCAAGCAATGCAGGACTATGGCGACTCTCAGGAAGGGGGAGGGAGGGCCCACGTGTCCAGGCGGGGGAGACAGTCCACAGGTGCAGATGGAGTAGGCCGGGTTTATGGGTCCTATGATCACGTCATGAAACTTGACAATGGGACAGAGGGTGAATAGCAATGAACAGACTACAGCTGAAGTCAAAAGAGAAAGAGGGGAGGATAGTGCTCAAGCTACCATAGTACTACTTCCAACCATGGAGGGTTTACGGGGAGTGGACTGACCAAGTGTGACGTCACCATAGTATTAGCCTTAATGCGGAAGAGGCCGGTTTGAACAGAGTCAAGCTGGAGCCAGTTTTCTTTTACGGGTTAGTATTTTTTCCCCGCGCCGTAACGGGACCAGGCATTTGTTAAGGCAAGCTGGAGTTTCAACCGCACATGAAGGCATCTGATTGATCAACCCTTATTTAGCTCATATCTGGATTCACAAAGACAATATAAAGTCATACACATCTGGATCACAGAGCACGCTAAATCAGATTTTCTATGCCCAAAATGGTGATTGTGTTTTGAGTGACAGCAGTTTATATATCTAACACACATTAGCAGACCGGTCCCGACACCAATATAAAACATATAATACATTGGTGTTTAACACTGCTTCCATAGCACACAACTGCACCTCTCACCCACAATCAGAGCAAAGTGCAAAAGCAAAAATGAAATCGTAAAATCTGTTTGTTATTCTGTGACAGGACGGGGGACAGGAGGGGGCCTGTCCCATGAGCCAGAACAGGGCCTTACAGCTTCTGTTTGACCTGCGCTACCTCTGCTGCACACTGGGGGGCAGAGTGGAGGAGGCCCGGAACCCAACGCTTCACACCGAGCCCAGGTGAGACAGGTTTTTCCTTTTTACTTTATAAACCTCTGTCCCTGGCCTTAATAAGAGCATTAAAGACCGGGACTGAACCGAGACTGAACCGAGACTGAACCGGGACTGAACCGGGACTGAACCGAGACTGAACCGAGACTGAACCGGGACTGAACCGGGACTGAACCGGGACTGAACCAGGACTGAACCAGGACTGAACCAGGACTGAACCACAGTGACTCTTTGCTGACAATTTGGATTTAGGGTAGTTTTAGTTATTCACTCATTTTAGTACAATTATTAAAGTTTTTATCTTAAATACATCTGTAACACATGCTAAGACTGGTGAATATAACTGAAATACATCCAAACTAAACACGAACTGCGGCAAGTAAAGCGTATGTTGCTATGGTAACTAGCGTCTCAAGCTTAGATGGCTCTGAACCAGTCCGGGGTCGAGATAATTCCATAAACATGATGGAAATGGAAATAAACTACACATAGAAACTGAAAAAAGTCAAAAACACACATCAGCGGAGTAATTACACTTCCAAACCGAAAAGCCGTCAAATCGACTGCTCTGGGAGTTCTAGAGGACGTATCTCTCATGTCTCCTGTCAGTTATGTCAGTGCATTAAATTTCAAAGTGAAGAAGAAGATTGTGATTTTTGGTGTATGTTTTGCCTGTCCATAAATACCAGCTGTATCATCTCTTGTTCTCAGGATCCAGGAGGCGTGTGATTGGCTGGAGCACTACATCGACCCGTTCGACCTGGATGTGTTTACTCCACACATGAGCGCGAACCTGAGCCGCCTTTCCCAGAGGACCTCGGTAACTCACCGCACTAACTCACCATAAACACAGGTCCTGGCTCGCATCGGGCTGCACCAGTGGCTTCAGGACGGGGCCACATTCTGAGCGCACACCTCATTTTTCGTTTCGATGTGTCAATTTCAGCATTTTGTTCCGATTCCGATTCATTTTATTTGCCATTTGCAGTAAAACCACATTGATATATATTGATAAAACCGCTGTCAGACTGTACAATGAGTCACTAATGCACTAGGACTGAACAAACCTGCATTGCTATTGCCACCCTTTCTTTTAATGCCACTTTATTTTTGTATTGTACATAATTATATCCTGCACAGACTATATTTTTAACCTTTTACATGTCGCACACTGTCTTCTGTGACGTGTGCATTTCTCCAGTGTGAGATCAATAAAGTTTACATTATCTTAAGCTAAAAAAAAGTGCAGGAAGCTATTCTCACTGTGAAATCGATCAACAAAACAGATCAATAGAAGAGCAAGTATAATACAGTCCACAGGCTGATCACACATTGTGGATTATATTATAACGGGCGTAAAGCTGAAATATGATAAAAGACTTACCTTTTTCACCAATACCTCAGAAAAATTCAATATAATGTATAAAATGGCTGAATTTGGAGCCACACTCTGACATGGGTTTGACCTGCCCTGCTCTGTCATACCTCTTTTTCCACTTGGAATATACAAGTGCCCCTTTGAACCTTTCGACATTTCGCCACATTTCAGGCTTCAAACATAAAGATATAACATTTTAATTTTTTGTCATGAATCAACAACAAGTGGAACACAATCGTGAAGTGGAACAAAATTTATTGGATAATTTAAACTTTTTAAACAAATAAAAAACTGAAAAGTGGGGCGTGCAATATTATTCGGCCCCTTTACTTTCAGTGCAGCAAACTCACTCCAGAAGTTCAGAGAGGATCTTTGAATGATCCAATGTTGTCCTAAATGACTGATGATAAATAGAATGCTCCTGTGTGTAATCAAGTCTCCGTATAAATGCACCTGCTCTTTGATAGTCTCAGGGTTCTGTTTAAAGCGCAGAGAGAACCATGAAGACAAAGGAACACACCAGGCAGGTCCGAGATACTGTTGTGGAGAAGTTTAAAGCCGGATTTGGATACAAAAAGATTTCCCAAGCTTTAAACATCTCAAGGAGCACTGTGCAAGCAATTATTTTGAAATGGAAGGAGTATCAGACCACTGCAAATCTACCAAGACCCGGCCGTCCCTCCAAACTTTCATCTCAAACAAGGAGAAGACTGATCAGAGATGCAGCCAAGAGGCCCATGATCAGTCTGGATGGACTGCAGATAACTACTTAAAGTGACTTATTGTACAGTCTGACAGCGGTGGGGATAAAGGCCCTGCGGTAGCGCTCCTTCTTACACTGAGGGTGCCTCAGTCTTCCACTGAATGAGCTCCTCAGCTCCTCTACAGTCCTGTGCAGTGGGAGGTGTTGTTCATGATGGAGGTGGCTTTGACTAGCACCTCCTGTCCCTCACCTCCTCCACAGAGTCCAGGGGCCTCCTGTCCCTCACCTCCTCCACAGAGTCCAGGGAGCAGCCCAGAGTGGAGCTGGCCCTCCTGACCAGCTTGTTCAGTCTGCTCCTGTCCCGCTCTGTGCTGCCCTGTGTTTATTTTGACTTCAAACAAGTGTCCTGTAGCTACTAAAACTTGAGTTAAAATAGCAAATTAATAAACTCTGATCTGACAACAGCCCGACTCTTTCACAATAAAAATACACATATTCTTCGCTATAAAAGCCAAAGAACAAGAAAAAAGTAGTGTCTTATAGTCCGGAAACTACGGTGTATAGTTGTATTTAAGAGGAAAATTGGCTTTAAAATGATGTATAACACGCAGTGGAAAATTACATTATTGACCTTCTATGGCCCCCGAGATCCTTTATTCGTCCCACTGTGGGGAAGCTCCAGAGCCCCCGGTGGAGAAACACTGCTATAGCACACAGAAGCCACACACCCTGGTTTGCAGACTGTGGCTGTGTCCAGACCCTCCCGTCCATCGTTCACCTGTGTTTGTTTTAGGTGCTGCTGGGGCTCCTCACGGGTCTGGAGAAGCAGTACTCGTCCCGGAGCCCAGTCCAGTCCCAGGAGGCCTCCAACATTCTTCCCCTGAGCAGCTCTAACATCAGGTCAGTGTGTGGCATTTGCACCTGCATGCCTTCAGTTGCACTTGTAGATATAGCCACGTGTAATTTCACACTTCTGCCTGTAGGAGTGCTCTAGTCCTCTTCCTTATTATTTACTTTTCAATATAATGCAGACCTTTCTAATAAAACACCAAATTATTATTGTAATGTAGCCCGAAGACTTCAAACTTGGGACTAACCAAGGACAACAATATCATACGGATCAAGCCTCTATCTGATCGGTCCCTCAGTCATGGGCATTTGAACCCAAAATCTGGACTGTCTTCCCTAAAAATGTGAGACAAGCTTCTACTCTGGCAGCGTTGAAATCCAGTGCATACCACAGAAGGATTTTACTTTCACTCTTTTTAATATTTTGTGGTTATGTATGATTTGTGTGATTTTTTTCTATCTGGTTTTGTTGCCTTGTGTATGAACTGTGCGATTTAAATAAACTTGCCTTGCCTCCTGTGTGTGGTAGGTTTGGCCTGCTGCCCCTGAGCTCCTACAGCAGCCGGCAGAGTAAGACCAGAGCCCACGTCAGCCACACCCTGGTACCAGCTTTTCACTTGTCTGTTTCTCAGTGACGTTTACGCGGTCGAGCTGCTCATTAGCTTTCAGAGCCATTCTAAAATATTTCATTTGAGCCAAAGTCAAGGCCTTAACGGTGCAGTACGCCATGTTGTTAGCTTAGCCGTAGCACCAACTGGAAACCACTCCCTCTCCACCAAACCAAACATCCAGCATTTTCTTTTCTTTGTTACAACAAGGAGAGTGGGTGGCAAACGTGAAATTGGTATTTTCTGTTCAAGCCCTTTTAGGTTTTAGAAAATCCGATGACTCAGGTGCACTCGCGAGAAACAGGAAGAGGGTGAAGGGGGTAAACAAATCCCATTGGTTCATTTTTATCGGCCTGCTCCAAAATATTGTTTATTACTTTTTGTAGACTACATGCATCTGGTCAATTCCATTACTTTTTGAAAACCCATAACGTGACTACTTTTAGGGTTTGGGGACGTTTTCCCACAATATAAAAAAAAATGCCTCTGGAAAAAATCACAGACTGCATCTTTAAAAGTGTGTGACAGTTTTCCTCTGTGTACCCCTGGTGAATATTCAATTTTTTTCCCGAGAGACTGTACTTTTTCAGAAACAAAATGAGTGAGACGGCAACATGCATCCTTTTCTAAATACATACATTTCTATTATACTAGAAACATATTGAAATTTATATCATATATCAATTTTCCTTTTTTTACGTAATTTAATTTCACACCAAGTAAAAGGGTAAAAGTTGAAAAAAATGAAAATAAATGTTGTCCCTTGACCTCCCCCTCCCGCGCACTCTGAGGAATATTCTTAACATCTACAAATGTTTAAGCAATAGAAGAAACAAGGCGTGACAGCGGCGCATCGTCGTGCTGTGTGCTCCAGGCTTCTACCACGGGCACACATCTGAAAACACCTGAAGCAAGCCGCTGTATGTGTCTTTACGCTTCAAATGAGACATTGGCTTTAAAATGATGTATAACGTGCAATGGAATATTACATTGTTGACAGTCTATGGCCCCTGTGATGTTAATACAACCTAATCTAATCCACTTTATTTATAAATCAGATTTTATAAAACACATTTTATAAAACACGTTTCCAAAGTGCTGCACGGATAAAAGTAACACATTAAAAATATACATGTCTGCCAGCTTTAACTAAAAACAATAGAAATAAAATAAAAATAATTAAAAAATAAAATGAATATAATAAAAATATAATAGCATTAAAATTAAAATAATACAAATAAAATTAAAATAATACAAATAAAATTAAAATAATACAAATAAAATTAAAATAATTACAATAAAATAAAAAACTATTAAAATGAAATGTAAATAATAAAAAAATAATATTAATAATTCTAAATGAAAATTTTAAATTATATACAAATTTAAATAAAACTATTATTTATACACATAAACAATAAAAAAAAAAAAAAGTGGACTAGAGGTGTTAAAAGCCAGAGCGTAAAAGTGGGTCTCAAGACTTTACTGATTACAGCCTTGGTCTCACCTTCATGGCCGACTTCTGGCACAAACCCTATCCATAAAAGCAGCAGCTGTGTCCCTCCTCTGCGCGTGACTCCCTGATGCTGCTGTGGTGACAGTGGTGTGTCCTGCTTGTGTCCAGGCCCTGCAGACCCCCGCCGCAGTGAGCCAGGACCCCTACAGAGCGGGAAGTCTGTTCAAACAGCTGACCCAGCAGGACGACGACACGGCCCCCTCCTCGCTCTTTCGACTGGGCTGGCTCTCAGGGATGACCAAATAACCAAGAAGCACTTTAGCACTTTGGGAAACCGTTTGTATACAATATTGTGTAAGAAAACTGCAGGAGTGGTGTTAATAAAAAGTCTAACTATTGTAAACGTGTTGTGTTCTGTTGGATGTTATGGTTCGGATGAGTGCATTTTCACAGAGCCACTGTTATCATTCTGAAACTTTTATTAACAGTATTAACACTTGCGGAAACCACTAGAACTAGAGTCGTTATATTCTCTGCTTCCATTCAGGGTCTGGATTTGCTCCACTGAGCTCCGTTAACAGGTGTGAGGGGTTAACTCCTTTTGCAGATTGAAACGATTAGATCTGAGATTGACGTGACGTATGTAATGTGTCCGAGTCGCTAGCATTTAGCCTAACTTTAGCCATCTCCTTTGCCACTAACGGAGCCAGTGGGGAGAAGAGCCACAGCTTTGCAACAAAGACATATACAAAACATTCCACTTGCTCCGGTTACAATTTCTGGATATTTGGAGCCAGACCAGAACAGATTACTTTACTATCCCATTTACCGTCGTTGCCAAACCACAACCAACAAATTTGGCGCAAACTCTTGACGTCACCGACACCGACCTACAACACCCGCCTCCCCCGCTCTCTGATTGGTCGAAGGGGGTTCAACTGATGTAACTGCAGACACTGGGAGCAGACCCAGACGTACATGTAGGAAAGGATCATGGACCAGAGTTTATGGATGGATAAGGCCAGACTAATTAAAACTTAGAGAATTTTGAGAAACTCCCCCAAAAATGTTGATAGATGGATGGACGGATAGATGGATACTTTATTGATCCCTGATAAACTCAGGTGTCCAGCAGCAGAAGCACATCATCCATACAAACAAATAAATGTACGCAATTGACTTGGTTCCAGATTTATTAAAAATAAGTAATTTATAAGGTTTTATACTTTTACTTACTTTTATGAAGTGCTAATACCAGGGAGTATACATTTGAATACTGTAAAAACAGTTTAACTAGTGCTAAAAACCAAATACTAAACAGTGTGTTGCTATGGTAACAAGCACTTAGTCTTTTCTGGTTGAAAACCAAGCTCAGTCCAGATCCAAGCAACAGAAAATGGCTACATTTGGTTAAAAGATAGAACTCTCATATTACAAATGGCTGGATGACGCTGTGAACTTGTGTTGCACGCTCTCCACACCTGGGAGTCCTGGATCTACAGCCTCAGTCCTGGATCTACAGCCTCAGTCCTGGATCTACAGCCTCAGTCCTGGATCTACAGCCTCAGTCCTGGATCTACAGCCTCAGTCCTGGGTCTACAGCCTCAGTCCTGGGTCTACAGCCTCAGTCCTGGATCTACAGCCTCAGTCCTGGATCTACAGCCTCAGTCCTGGATCTACAGCCTCAGTCCTGGATCTACAGCCTCAGTCCTGGGTCTACAGCCTCAGTCCTGGATCTACAGCCTCAGTCCTGGATCTACAGCCTCAGTCCTGGATCCACAGCCTCAGTCCTGGATCTACAGCCTCAGTCCTGGATCCACAGCCTCAGTCCTGGATCTACAGCCTCAGTCCTGGATCTACAGCCTCAGTCCTGGATCTACAGCCTCAGTCCTGGATCTACAGCCTCAGTCCTGGGTCTACAGCCTCAGTCCTGGGTCTACAGCCTCAGTCCTGTATCTACAGCCTCAGTCCTGGATCTACAGCCTCAGTCCTGGATCTAAGGAGCGTATTCCTCTCTCACTATGGGCCTCCCTGAAGCCTGATGCACATTGATTAACATTTATGGACAGTGGTCATTCTGCCCCCTATGGACCAATGACATTTCCTGTGTTCAAACTATTTGATTCTCTGATTTACTGAATACAGTGATTTTGATTTCGACTGTTGGCGAATCAACAACTTTGTTAAGTCCTCTGAGATGATCTGTTGTGATTTAGGACTGTACATATACTGTACATTGAATTGTTTATGTCCTCAATGGTTTTTGTGTTAGCGAAGCCTGGTTTGGGGCCAGAGAAAACACAAATAATGCTGAATAGTTCTTTATTTGGATTATACTGTAATAAAATACTTATAATAAAATATGATTATTATTGAATGTAAGATACAGATATTGTTGTTCAAGCGTTTGCTCAGTTCTTGCGGTCCACTTTGCTCATCATGGCTTTGACGTCGATGGGTGCAGAAGCGGCAGCGGCCTTGGCCTTGTCCGCTTCCTCCTGCTCCCAGAGGATGAGGGGGTGGATGCCCGGGTTGCGGCTCTGGGCGTTCTGCTCCAGTTGAGCGGGGCTGTGGGGACAAACACCATCAGGACCCTTCCCTCAGTGTCCTCGTGTGAGATTCTTCAGTTGGTTAGACAAAGAAACGACCCGCTCACTGTTCACTCCAAAACTAAACACAGTATAATCCAAAAGCTGCAGCTCAAGTCCTGACTAGAACCAAGAAGTCCCATCACATTAGTCCTGGTGCCAGCGTCACTGGCAGAGACCTGTGTCCCTCCATGTTCTGGGATTATTCATTTCTTGTGTGATTTGTTCAGCACTTTGAGTTCCCTTGTGTATGAACTGTGCTATACAATAAATACATCACTCACAGCTGTTATATTCTCACACATAGATGCCCTCGCTCCCCCTGCTCTTGTGATCACTGCCTCAGCAGGCTGGCTGAGTGGTTAGCACACTTGCTTATCTGTGTCCTGCCTTTCTGTGTGGAGTTTGCATGTTCTCCCCATGTCTGTGTATGTTTCCTCCGAGTGCTACTGTTTTCACAATAGGCTAAATTGGTCCTGACTCTTGGTCCTGACCAAGAGTCACATCTGGAGATGGGCCCCTGTACTGTGAAGGATGGGTCATATACAGAGGACACATTTCCCTACAGAGACAATAAATATAACTTCACCGTCTGAATATATAACACTGATGTCACTGGTGTCTCTATCACTAAAGCAAACTGAAGCATGTGATGACCCTTTAAGCTCAGAGAGAACGGGCCACTATGAGGTTACAGAGCATGGACCAAGGGGTGCTGAGACCCAGGGGTGCTTGGACCCAGGAGAGCTGGATCTCACCCAACCCCAGAACCCCCAGCCCACCTGAAGTTATGTGCCTCTGGATTCAGGGCTTTCTTCTGGATGTCTTTGTACGTTGGAGACTTCAAGTATCGGAAGAACGTGTCCTGAAAACACACGGTCAGCCATCGTTACTGTGTTCACACAGACTGTGTTTGTACAGACTGTGTTCGCACAGACTGTGTTTGTACAGACTGTGTTCGCACAGACTGTGTTTGTACAGACTGTGTCCCACAGACTGTGTTCGCACAGACTATGTTCCCACAGACTGTGTTCGCACAGACTATGTTCCCACAGACTGTGTTCGCACAGGCTGTGTTCGCACAGACTGTGTTTGTACAGACTGTGTTCGCACAGACTATGTTCCCACAGACTGTGTTCGCACAGACTGTGTTCCCACAGACTGTGTTCGCACAGACTGTGTTCCCACAGACTGTGTTCGCACAGGCTGTGTTCGCACAGACTGTGTTTGTACAGACTGTGTTCGCACAGACTATGTTCCCACAGACTGTGTTCGCACAGGCTGTGTTCGCACAGACTGTGTTTGTACAGACTGTGTTCGCACAGACTATGTTCCCACAGACTGTGTTCGCACAGACTGTGTTCGCGCAGACTGTGTTCCCACAGACTGTGTTCCCACAGACTGTGTTCGCACAGACTATGTTCCCACAGACTGTGTTCGCACAGACTGTGTTCGCACAGACTGTGTTCGCGCAGACTATGTTCCCACAGACTGTGTTCGCACAGACTATGTTCCCACAGACTGTGTTCGCACAGACTATGTTCCCACAGACTGTGTTCGCGCAGACTATGTTCCCACAGACTGTGTTCCCACAGACTGTGTTCCCACAGACTGTGTTCGCACAGACTGTGTTCCCACAGACTGTGTTCCCACAGACTGTGTTCGCACAGACTATGTTCCCACAGACTGTGTTCGCACAGACTATGTTCCCACAGACTGTGTTCGCACAGACTATGTTCCCACAGACTGTGTTCGCACAGACTATGTTCCCACAGACTGTGTTCGCACAGACTATGTTCCCACAGACTGTGTTCGCACAGACTATGTTCCCACAGACTGTGTTCGCACAGACTATGTTCCCACAGACTGTGTTCGCACAGACTGTGTTCCCACAGACTGTGTTCGCACAGACTATGTTCGCACAGACTGTGTTCACACAGACTGTGTTTGCACAGTCTGTGTTCGCACAGACTGTGTTCGCACAGACTGTGTTCACACAGACTGTGTTCGCACAGACTGTGTTCGTACATGTGTTCGCACAGACTGTGTTCGTACAGACTGTGTTCACACAGACTGTGTTCGCACATGTGTTCGCACAGACTGTGTTCGCACAGACTGTGTTCGTACATGTGTTCGCACAGACTGTGTTCGCACAGGCTGTGTTCGCACAGACTGTGTTCGCACAGACTGTGTTCGCACAGACTGTGTTCGCACAGACTGTGTTCGTACATGTGTTCGCACAGACTGTGTTTGTACATGTGTTCGCACAGGCTGTGTTCGCACAGACTGTGTTCACACAGTCCGTGTTTGTACAGACTGTGTTCGTACAGACTGTGTTCGCACAGACTGTGTTCGTACATGGGTTCGCACAGACTGTGTTCGCACATACTGTGTTCGTACATGTGTTCGCACAGACTGTGTTCGCACAGACTGTGTTCCCACAGACTGTGTTCGCACAGACTATGTTCGCACAGACTGTGTTCGCACAGACTGTGTTCGCACAGACTGTGTTCACACAGACTGTGTTCGCACAGTCTGTGTTCGTACAGACTGTTCGCACAGACTGTGTTCGCACAGACTGTGTTCGCACAGACTGTGTTCGTACATGTGTTCGCACAGACTGTGTTCGCACAGGCTGTGTTCGCACAGGCTGTGTTCGCACAGACTGTGTTCGCACAGACAGTGTTCGCACAGTCTGTGTTCGCTCAGACTGTGTTCGTACAGACTGTGTTCACACAGACTGTGTTCGCACAGACTGTGTTCGCACAGACTGTGTTCGTACCTGTGTTCGCACAGACTGTGTTCGTACATGTGTTCGTACAGACTGTGTTCGTACATGTGTTCGCACAGGCTGTGTTCGCACAGACTGTGTTCCCACAGACTGTGTTCGCACAGTCCGTGTTTGTACAGACTGTGTTCGCACAGACTGTGTTCGCACAGACTGTGTTCGCACATACTGTGTTTGTACATGTGTTCGCACAGACTGTGTTCGCACAGACTGTGTTCCCACAGACTGTGTTCGTACAGACTGTGTTCGCACAGACTGTGTTCGCACAGACTGTGTTCGCACAGACTGTGTTCGTACAGACTGTGTTCGTACAGACTGTGTTCCCACAGGCTGGGTTCGCACAGACTGTGTTTGCACAGACTGTGTTCGTACATGTGTTCGCACAGACTGTGTTCGCACGGACTGTGTTCGTACATGTGTTCGCACAGGCTGTGTTCGCACAGACTGTGTTCGCACAGACTGTGTTCGTACATGTGTTCGCACAGGCTGTGTTCGCACAGACTGTGTTCGCACAGACTGTGTTCGCACAGACTGTGTTCGCACAGACTGTGTTGCACAGACTGTGTTCGACATGTGTTCGCACATACTGTGTTTGTACATGTGTTCGCACAGACTGTGTTCGCACAGACTGTGTTCCCACAGACTGTGTTCGTACAGACTGTGTTCGCACAGACTGTGTTCGCACAGACTGTGTTCGCACAGACTGTGTTCGTACAGACTGTGTTCGTACAGACTGTGTTCCCACAGGCTGGGTTCGCACAGACTGTGTTTGCACAGACTGTGTTCGTACATGTGTTCGCACAGACTGTGTTCGCACGGACTGTGTTCGTACATGTGTTCGCACAGGCTGTGTTCGCACAGACTGTGTTCGCACAGACTGTGTTCGTACATGTGTTCGCACAGGCTGTGTTCGCACAGACTGTGTTCGCACAGACTGTGTTCGCACAGACTGTGTTCGCACAGACTGTGTTCGCACAGACTGTGTTCGTACATGTGTTCGCACAGACTGTGTTCGTACATGTGTTCGCACAGGCTGTGTTCGCACAGACTGTGTTCGCACAGACTGTATTCGCACAGACTGTGTTTGCACAGACTGTGTTCGCACAGTCTGTGTTCGTACAGACTGTGTTCGTACAGACTGTGTTCGCACAGGCTGTGTTCGCACAGACTGTGTTTGTACAGACTGTGTTCGCACAGACTATGTTCCCACAGACTGTGTTCGCACAGGCTGTGTTCGCACAGACTGTGTTTGTACAGACTGTGTTCGCACAGACTATGTTCCCACAGACTGTGTTCGCACAGACTGTGTTCCCACAGACTGTGTTCGCGCAGACTATGTTCCCACAGACTGTGTTCGCACAGACTGTGTTCCCACAGGCTGTGTTCGCACAGACTGTGTTCCCACAGACTGTGTTCGCACAGACTATGTTCGCACAGACTGTGTTCGCACAGACTGTGTTTGCACAGTCTGTGTTCGCACAGACTGTGTTCGCACAGACTGTGTTCGCACAGACTGTGTTCGCACAGACTGTGTTCGCACAGACTGTGTTCGTACATGTGTTCGCACAGACTGTGTTCGTACAGACTGTGTTCACACAGACTGTGTTCGCACATGTGTTCGCACAGACTGTGTTCGCACAGACTGTGTTCGTACATGTGTTCGCACAGACTGTGTTCGCACAGGCTGTGTTCGCACAGACTGTGTTCGCACAGACTGTGTTCGCACAGACTGTGTTCGCACAGACTGTGTTCGTACATGTGTTCGCACAGACTGTGTTTGTACATGTGTTCGCACAGGCTGTGTTCGCACAGACTGTTTTCACACAGTCCGTGTTTGTACAGACTGTGTTCGTACAGACTGTGTTCGCACAGACTGTGTTCGTACATGTGTTCGCACAGACTGTGTTCGCACATACTGTGTTCGTACATGTGTTCGCACAGACTGTGTTCGCACAGACTGTGTTCCCACAGACTGTGTTCGCACAGACTGTGTTCGCACAGACTGTGTTCGCACAGACTGTGTTCACACAGACTGTGTTCACACAGACTGTGTTCGCACAGTCTGTGTTCGTACAGACTGTTCGCACAGACTGTGTTCGCACAGACTGTGTTCGTACATGTGTTCGCACAGACTGTGTTCGCACAGGCTGTGTTCGCACAGACTGTCGCACAGACTGTGTTCGCACAGACTGTGTTCGCACAGCGTTTCCCAGCTGTGTCGCGTACAGACTGTGTTCACAGACTGTGTTCGCACAGGACTGTGTTCGCACAGACTGTGTTCGCACAGACTGTGTTCGCACAGACTGTGTTCGTACAGACTGTGTTCGCACAGACTGTGTTCGTACTGTGTTCGCACAGGCTGTGTTCGCACAGACTGTGTTCGCACAGACTGTGCGCACAGACTGTGTTCGCACAGACTGTGTTCGCACATGTGTTCGCACAGACTGTGTTCGTACATGTGTTCGCACAGGCTGTGTTCGCACAGACTGTGTTCGCACACGGACTGTATTCGCACAGACTGTGTTTGCACAGACTGTGTTCGCACAGTCTGTGTTCGTACAGACTGTGTTCGTACAGACTGTGTTTGCACAGACTGTGTTTGCACAGACTGTGTTCGTACATGTGTTCGCACAGACTGTGTTCGCACAGACTGTGTTCGCACAGACTGTGTTCGTACATGTGTTCGCACAGACTGTGTTCGTACATGTGTTCGTACATGTGTTCGCACAGACTGTGTTCGCACAGACTGTGTTCGCACAGACTGTGTTCGCACAGACTGTGTTCCCACAGATTGTGTTCGTACAGACTGTGTTCGTACAGACTGTGTTCGCACAGACTGTGTTCGCACAGACTGTGTTCGTACATGTGTTCGCACAGACTGTGTTCGTACATGTGTTCGCACAGGCTGTGTTCGCACAGACTGTGTTCGCACAGACTGTATTCGCACAGACTGTGTTTGCACAGACTGTGTTCGCACAGTCTGTGTTCGTACAGACTGTGTTCGTACAGACTGTGTTTGCACAGACTGTGTTTGCACAGACTGTGTTCGTACATGTGTTCGCACAGACTGTGTTCGCACAGACTGTGTTCGCACAGACTGTGTTCGCACAGACTGTGTTCGTACATGTGTTCGCACAGACTGTGTTCGTACATGTGTTCGTACATGTGTTCGCACAGACTGTGTTCGCACAGACTGTGTTCGCACAGACTGTGTTCGCACAGACTGTGTTCCCACAGATTGTGTTCGTACAGACTGTGTTCGTACAGACTGTGTTCGCACAGACTGTGTTCGCACAGACTGTGTTCGCACAGACTGTGTTCGTACAGACTGTGTTCCCACAGGCTGTGTTCGCACAGACTGTGTTCGTACAGACTGTGTTCCCACAGACTGTGTTCCCACAGACTGTGTTCCCACAGACTGTGTTCCCACAGACTGTGTTCCCACAGACTGTGTTCCCACAGACTGTGTTCGCACAGACTGTGTTCGCACAGACTGTGTTCGTACAGACTGTGTTCGTACAGACTGTGTTCTGTACGAACACACACACACCTTCTTCATGAGGAGGAAGACGTGAGTCTGAGCCGCCTCCAGAACATAGCGGTGTGGATGGTCCAGGCCCTTCACTGTCAGTCCCATGGTTCTTCCGTCTATGTTGATCCAGCGAGGGGCTCCAGGGGCCAGGAAGGTCCTATGCCACACACACACACACACACAGTATGCACACAAAAGTCACACACTATTGGAAAAGGGCCAAAACAGCCCGTGTGGATTTAAGTTGCAGTACCAAAGGTGGCCCCTTGTCCCCACACACACATACACACATACGTACGCACACGCACACACACACACACGCACACACACCAGTGCACTAGGACAGATCCACCTGGTGTGACTCACTTGAAGATGGTCTCTGCCTTTGACGACATGGACGAGGCCGACCCCCACTTGAGCTCCTCAGCTGCCTCCCAGAAGGCCAAGTTCTCCCCTGAACACACAGGGACAGACGGACAAACACACACACAGACACACACACACACACAGAGACAGACGGACAAACACACACACAGACAGAGACAGACGGACAAACACACACACACACACAGAGACAGACGGACAAACACACACACACACAGAGACAGACAGACACACGCACACACACACACACACACACACAAGTTCTCTCATTAGAAACAAACAGGTCCCCCAGACCAGTCTACATTAAGTTTTCAAACTTTTGACTTTGGCGTCTTTGATGCAGGTTGTGCATGTGTATTTTCAAACAGCTTCAGCCTCCAAACCAGTGTTGGCATCTCCAGTGATTTTACTTTTTTGTTTTTGTTTGCACAACTGTCTTAGATTGGGGCATGCTACACTCTGGGCTCTCTGGTTTGGAGAAGTGAGTCCCAAGTGTGAGCTAAGGTGGAGGCACCCTCATCTCTGTTGATGGTCTATGATGTCTGTTGTATACATCTTTTGTATTTCTTTTATGGTCATTCAGCAAAACTAGCTTCTTTACACTTTTGTCTCATTAAAAAAAACCTTCTAAGCCATAAACATAAGGGTGATAGTAGCTCAGTTGGAAGAACATTTGCCTTTAGGCCTGAAGGATGTGGGTTCAATTCCCACCTTGACACCTTCCCCACGACTCCCAATGATGTCTTCTGTCGTTGTGTCCTTGGGCAAGACACTTAACCCTGCTTTGCCCAAACCACATTGGAATACATTTTTGAAAGTACCCAGTATCCCCAAGACAAGAACATACATAAAACAACATTAAAAGTACTGAAATAAGTCTTACCACTGAACTCTTTTTTGAGGAAGATCTTGAAGTCGTCGCGGCCCCTGAGGTCCACCAGCAGCTCGTACAGGCTGAAGGACCACCGCTCCACACGCATCTTTGTGGGAACCTCCACACTGAGAACACACCAAGCACATGTGTCAAAGCTAGACCTGAGCGTCCTCATGAAGCTCAGGACAGATTCAAGTGAGAGCATTATAATGTATGTACCAGACCCGAAGCGACGCTTACAGAAAACGCCAAATCAGAGAAATGGACAGCACACACTCCTTCCCCTCTCTCCCCTAAAGGTTACTGTAACTCGCTGCACTGTGGCCTGGACCTAAGCTCGGGGCCAGAATGAGACACGTAAGAGGGAGCACATCACCCCTGTGCTGGCGTCACTTCACTGGATCCTGGTCACGTTCAGGGAAGATTTTAAGATTCTGATGCTTATTTTAGTTTATCCCTTGTAAAAACAGTCTCTGACAGGGCTGATTACTCTCTATGTTACTGTCCGATCAGTGAGGTCAGAAAACCAACTTTATTGACCGTGCCCAGGTCTTGTTTCAACAGTTGCTGCTCCCAAACTGTGGAATAGACCTCTGCACCTTAGTAAGTAAGTAATCTTTATTTATATACCGCCTTTTCACTGCAGATCTGAGTCTCAAAGCGGTTTACAATTGTTCATTTTGGGCATTTATCTCTCACTCCACACAGAGATGGGAGCGGGGTCGCCAGTACAAGAAGCGCATGCTAGAACTATTAGACATATTTTTAGTGGTAGGGGAAACCGGAGTACCCGGAGGAAACCTACGCAGACACAGGGAGAACATGCAAACTCCACTCAGAAAGGCCCTGGTCCGACCGGGATTCGAACCCAGGACCTTCTTGCTGAGAGGCGAGAAGCCACCGTGCCGCCCTTAGAGCAGCAGGATTTTTGACTTTTAATACCAACCTGAAATATAATGCATTACATGTATTTGTGTGTAATTTGTGCCAATGTTTATTTTTTTTTCTCTTGTGTCTGTGAAGCACATTGAGCAACTGGTGCTGTTGTTGGCCTCAGTGCAGGGGGCCTCAGAGCAAGGGCTTCAGAGCAAGGGCTTCGGAGCGGGGGCTTCAGAGCGGGGGCTTACCTGCGCGTGTTGAGGCTCCAGTAGGAGTTGTTGTCTGTTTGCCAGGGATTACTGGGCAGACACGGGGCCAGGAACGGGTCGTGGTTTTTGTACGTGGTCATGTATTTCACCAGGCTGAGGACACATGTGGGTTAGAGGAACACAAAGAGGAACACAAAGAGGACCACAAAGAGGACCACAAAGGGGACCATAAAGGGGACCATAAAGAGGACCACAAAGCGCCTCTGTCACTCGTCCCAGGGCTGTTCTATTCTCACATGTCACCACTAGAGGGGGGGAGTTTCTATCTTCTCTTTCTGAGATGCAGATGTTTTATGAATACAGATAAAACAGTCTAAGTTTAAAAGATAAACAGACATTATAATATGTGTTTGTATTAATGGCTCAAAGGGACGAGACTCACGCTCCCAGGGACACGCTGGACTTCACTCTGGACCTCATGATGGTCTGCTGGAAGAAGATGTTCTGTGGGAGACAGGGCCAGGTTAGAGCTGCTCTTAGAGCTGCTTTAAGAGCTGCTCTCTCCTTACCCTGCGTCTGTACTCGTCAAAGGTGATTTTCTGTGGACACAAAAAGCATTCTGAGGGTTAGCTCAACCACAACATTAAAGCTCAGGTACCTGACTCTAGCTCAAAACCGTTTAGTGCAACACTACTTTTGGCATCTGTCACAGCGTTAGACCAGCTTTTTAAGACAATAAACTAATCTTCAACCAATCAGCTCTTTACCCAAAAGGTCAAATAATGACTCACAGGGCTCTTTCTTGTAAAAGATCATGTTATGTAACGAGATGAAGACAGATGCTATGGTCACTTTTGTAAAAAAGGCTCTCTCTGTTGGACAAACTAAATAGCTCTAATATTAATGAAAGACACAATCATTTATATTTCTCTGAGCATTGATCTGAATTCCTATTTCACGGAAGGTAAATTTTCTTTATGTATTTAATTATTTTTTTATTAGTTTGTTTATGGTGTGTTCACACATGTGCCCTCACCTCCTCAGCAGTGGGGTCCAGCAGGCGCTCTGGGCCGTCGTCCAGAGCGCTGTGAGTGCGCTTCTGCAGCACAGATACACAATGTTACACACACTCCTCATCAAGCATCTCACAACGTTTATCACAGACATCTGGGAAGTCACAAGGGGAGAGGGGTCGTGATGGTGTCATTGGGGGGTGTCAGATGGGTGTACAGGATGGATGGCTCCTGTACCAGATGACCTGGTACAGGAGCCACACTGACCGGAGGCCTGTTGACAATCCAAAAGGCTCGCTCTTGACACTCCAGCACCACACGGTCAGGCTTCTTACGCTCCTTCCCAGCCCTGCACACACACACAGACGCACACACACACACACACAGACGCACACACACACACAGACATGCACATACAGACGCACACACACATGCACACATATTAAATACAGTTCAGCTAAGAATATATAACAAACATGAAATTGGTGGGTAAAACAGAGAAAAGAACTAAACCTACACAGGAACATGCAGCCTTAGTTTTGAGTCAGTGAAAGTGTCTCCAGCTTTCTGTCCAGTGCAGTAACCTCTGTTAAACGACTGATGATCAGGAAGCATGTTCCTCTGATGAATAGGATCCACATCTGTGAAAATTTGCAGCTGTCCATCCCTGTAAACACTAACATCTCCTCTAACCTCTTCAACAGGTTTTTCTTTCCCTTCCTCTGAAAATGTCCCTTATACTCCAGGGGCCGGGGGCCACACTGCTCTGACTGTGCCTAAATGATGAGAGCGTTTGGGGCACAAAAGCATCCTCAGATTTGATTGTTTTATTAACCAAGGCTTACACCAGAAGGATCTGATCATGTGCACTTTCAGTGAGTCTCCAGAAGAACACTTGGGAAGGTCGTGGAGCGCCTGAGAGCGAGGCTCAGGGAGGACCAATCTGAGGTTAGTACAATTCAACATATTTCAAAAGAAAATAAACAGAAGTCTGTACTTGTGCTGCTCTGACGCCTGCATCACGATGAAGTCCCACTTGTGGTTCAGCCATTTGTGCAGGTGGTTGTAGTGAGCCTGGGAACACACAATGTATAATGGAATATACGCAACACTCCCCTCTGCTGGTAGACGTGGTCAATTATATTCTGCTTTTACAATGAAAGACTCAGGATTTGTCATAGCCTAACAAGTTTGAAAACAGCATTTAGACAGAAAGGGCGGGGGGACATGTTTGTACCAGAAGTTGTTACCTGCAGATGTTTGAATCCAAAAACATCTGCAGGTCTGACTGATGAGGAGCAGTGTTGAAACATGGCTAAAACTCAGCAACTGGTTTTAACGCCTGGTCTCTCCCCGGTCTGTTTTCTCCCCGGTCCCCCCCCCCCCCCCCCCCCCGGTCTCTCCCTGGTCTGGTCTCTCCCTGCTCTCCCCCCGGTCTCCACCCAGGTCAATCATGGAGCAGAGGCCCAGGAGTGTGTGTGTTCCAGTGGACAGACCTGCTCGTGGGCCTCCATCTGGCCCTTCTTCCGGATGTTCCTCTTGGCCAGATAAATGGCTGCAGGCACAAAAACATGGCTTATTCCATATTTGGTAAATCCAAAAAGTTTCTTTGCACAATTTTTAAAGTGGTTCAAAGTGGTTTAAGGGTAAAAAAAAAGGGTTCTACTGTTTGAAAAGGCTACAAGACACTTTTCCCAGTTCACATACCATAATCTATGTCCTCCGCTCTCCATTTCTGCGTGGGCCAAAAGTACGGCGTCTGTAAAACACAAGCAGCCCCATAACATGATGCTGCCACCCCCATATCTGACACTGGGAGTGGTGCGCTGAGGATGTGCAGTGTTGGTTTTGAGCCAAACAGTTCAATTCTCATCTCACAGAGCCTTCTTCCACGAGTTGAATGTGTCCTTGCTTTGCTTGTGGCTTTCTTTCAATACTGACTTTGTCTTCACCACTCGTGCATATATAATGAAGGCCAGATGTGTTTAGTGTTTGACTGATATTATCCTCATGTACAGGTTCCCCCATGTGAGCTGTGGACGTCTGCAGCTCCTCCAGAGTAACCTTCGGCCTCGTGTCTGCATCTGTGATCAGTGTTGAGCTGCGAGTTTGGGCAGACCTCTGGGTCTTGGTAGAGTTGTACCATACACCCAATTCCATTTCTGTGCTCTGTGAGATGTTCAGAGCTTTGGAAATGTTTGTACCTCACCAAGTGTAACAATGGGGTATACTATCGACCTGCTTTTAATACTAGAGGTTAGATGGCGTATAAAAAGACGTTGTCGGACTTCTTGCGTCAACAAAGATGGCGGCGGGTTGTGCTACGAATACTCCCACAGACCTTGTTTCTCTGAGTTGCTGAAACCACTTGACGGAGCGCCTATAGTGCGGTGGCTCACATGTGGTTTGCCGCATTGATTGGTGAGTTGCAATCATGGATCTAATGCAGATCTCATTGTTGTGATTGTCAATCTGGAGTTTTAATACACTCCTTTAGCTCCATGTGTGAATATGCACGAACGTAGCGTGCAAGATGCTTTCATTAACACGGTAAAACATTATGTTATTTGCGCACCTTGTATTGTGGCCCTAGCTGGTGGGGTGGACCCAGAATAAGAAATACTCAATGCTTTTATAAATATCCTCTTCTTTCCTCTCGAAAGCGGCTTTACAGAATGGTCCAACAGTCGGCTCCTGGTCTCAACGCTACATTCCAGATGCTGTCAATGCTGAGGAGAGTTTTTTTTTTTTTTTTTTTGGACCATTCTAGTTTTGTCGCTGTGGACTACAGAAGGCACTCGTAGAATGAATGGGGCTAGTGCCGGCTAACACATGCGCAAATGCTTTTTTTCACATTTTCCTGCCCCGCGGCCATTGTAAAAAGCCACAAAGAAGCCAAATTGGTGGCTCATTAGTTTCAACGGCCGAGATAGGCGTTACTATATCCGATAATGTTTACAGTCTATGGTCTGGTCAGAGGAGAAGGACATGAAGAGAAATACCTGGAAGCGGTAGAGTGTGGCGTCATTACACAGCACCAGCTTCTTGTGGTTCTGGATGGGGTAGATGTATCCATAGGCCACCAGCATGGTGCCCACCACCTGTGCGTCTGTGGGGAGAGGGGCCCAAGTTCAAGTATATGTGCACAGAACTATTTTCACCTGAAATACTTTAGCCCCTTTGGATATTTCATAACACTTTGAAGCAACTTAGGTTAAAGCTGAAATAATCATTATAACGCATGCTGGAGCTGGTATTTTTCCACTTCATGTTTTGGTTATCTGAAGGCCGAGCAACTGGCTGATTGGACTGTCTCCTACAATGTCACTTGCATTTTGAAAATCTTTGTTCGTGTCTCGTCTGTACCATCGACAATAAAACATGTCTTCTGTCTCTCTGACACAATCCCGGACTTTGTCACTTTATCAGTTGGTGGAGGATGCGGGCGGTGTTTTATTGTCGGTGGTAGAGACGAGACACGAACAAAGAAGATTGAAAGTGATTGGCCAGAGTGCTGAAAAGCTATGGTTACCAAGGACTTTCCCTGGATTTGCTGGTTTGCTATGGGTAGGTTGCTATAGAATACCCTACCAGATACTGAAGCATAACGGTACTGAAGCACAACCAGGAGGCCAAGTAGGGCTAGTTGTAACGGTGCTATAGAACATTTCAGTATCAGCTCGGCCGGGGTATAACCTGGACCAAGCAGGCACCAAAAAAGTACCTGGTACCGCTTGAAGAGGGCCGGTGGAAACTCTCCCAAGCTGGGTAGAGTAGAGCAGTAGTACAGGAAATACTGTACAATTTAGTCTTGGTCCTTTCTTGGTCCTTGGTCGTTGGTCTTGGTCTTTGGTCTTGGTCTTTGGGTCCTTTGTCCTTGGTCCTTGGTCTTGGAATTGTCTTGGCCTTAGTCCTTGATCTTGGTCTTTGGTCTAGGTCCTTGGTCCTTGGTCTTGGTCCTTGGTCTTGGTATTTGGTCCTTGGTCTTGTCTTGGCCTTAGTCCTTGATCTTGGTCCTTGGTCTTGGTCCAGTCTTAGTCCTGTCTTGGTCCTTGGTCTTGGTCCTGTCTTGGTCTCTGGTCTTGGTCCTGTCTTGGTCCCTGGTCTTGGTCCTGTCTTGGTCCTTAGTCTTAGTCCTTGGTCTTGGTCCTTGGTATTAGTCCTTGGTCTTGGTCCAGTCTTGGTCCTTGGTCTTAGTCCTTGGTCTTAGTCCTTGGTCTTGGTCCTTGGTCTTGGTCCCTAGTCTTGGTCCCTGGTCTTGGTCCCTGGTCTTGGTCCATTCCTGGTCCGGTCTTGGTCCGTGGGTAGTGGACCAACCTTCAGTGCTGTTCTTCATCTTGTTGACGATCCAGGCCACAATGTCTTTACCTGAAACAACAACGAACACATCTAACATCGTCAGAGGAGGAGCTCGTGTCTCACTTGTATTTACACTTTTAAAGTTTTTTGTATTGCACAGTTCATACACAAGGCAACTCAAAGTGCTTAACCCTTTAATGGTCTCCTCAACCATTTGGTGGATCACATTTTGATAAGATAAGATAGACTTTATTGATCTCACACAGGAGTCAATAGATCTACTTTAAGCTTGGAACACAAACCTACCTCTTTGGGGCATCGGCCTTGGTTTTAGGTTCTATGGTGGATAGACAGCTATGGCCTACACAGGTGGACTAACGCAAGACAAAATATCTGGCCCTCACAGTCACAAGGTCCCATTGTGTGTCCATATTTATGACTCTAGTGTGTTCTGATTGTCTCTGGATGCAGCACGTATGTATTTCTATCTGTGACGTAATCATGAATATATAAACCATGTCCTGACTTTGTTCTGTCTGAAAAAACTGAATTAACTGAAACCTGGAGGAAACTGAATAAACTTCCAGGAGCTCTGGTGTGCCTCGATCCCACGTCTGTGTGGTTCATCTTCCACAGTAACTTTACAATCAAACTGCATCTCAACCATTTAAAAGGTCTATCATTTAAAAAAAATCCAAAGAAAACAAAAATTACGTTGCTTTCGTGAAGGAGTCAATGTTAAAGGGTGAACCAAAGTGAAGAGTGAAGATATAATTCTATCCACAACCAAACAGAAATGTTTGGTTGGTTCTCACATCTCACCTCTCCCTCCCTCCTCTCCCTCCTCTCCCTCCTCTCCCTCCCTCCCTCCTCTCCCTCCCTCCTCTCCCTCCCTCCTCTCCCTCCCTCCTCTCCCTCCTCTCCCTCTCTCCTCTCCCTCCTCTCCCTCCCCTCTCTCCCTTCAGAGCAGTGACCTCTGTAATGCGCCCAGGCTAATCCTATTATCCTGCTTTCTGTTTTGGGCGTTGGGCTTATCCCTTTACCTGCACTCTGACTGCTCACTGACTTTTGAACACAAATATTCTGATTTGCAATTCAATAATAATATGATTGTAAATATTTATCTGCAAATTAAGGCCTCAAGAAGAAGAAAATAAACTGGTTTCAGGCAGAACGCTTCTCTTACATGTTGTAGTAAGAGGGTCCACACAGACTGAGAGACCCCGACATACATCAGCTGTGATGTCACACACACAGGACACAGTGACACCAGAGGGCCTCCAGAGGGGCCTCAAGAGGGACCTCCATAGGGGCCTCGAGAGGGACCTCCAGAGGGCCTCCAGAGGGGCCTCGAGAGGGACCTCCATAGGGACCTCCAGAGGGGCCTCCATAGGGACCTTTAGAGGGACCTCCAGAGGGACCTTTAGAGGGACCTCCAGAGGGGCCTTTAGAGGGACCTTTAGATGGGCGTTTAGAGGGACCTTCAGATGGGCGTTTAGAGGGACCTTCAGAGGGTGTCCACAACAAAACAAAGTACACAGTATATGTTATGCTTCTGTGTATCTGTTCCAGGGGCTTTGTAAGTGAATCAAACAAATGTTACCTGAACCAGAGTCCACTTGAACTTAATCAGAACCACTTTAACTGAACCAGAGTCCACTTTAACTTTATCAGAACCACTTTAACTGGACCAGAGTATACTTTAACTTAATCAGAACCACTTTCACTGGACCAGAACCACTTTATCTGGACTAGAAGCACTTTAACTGAACCATCCATCCATCCATTTTCTACCCTTTAATCCATTTCGGGGTCAGGGGGGTGGCAGTCAGAGATGCCACCCAAGTCTCATAGCACCAGCCCCTCACTGACCCTCTGCAGGTGGTGAGTCCACAGGAGGACGGCTGCTCTCTGAGTGTGAGCATAGCCTTGATCTTTCAGTTGGGGCTTTTGGGCAAAGTGGGGTTAAGTGTCTTGCCCAAGGACACAACGACAGCAGTCATTGTGTGGAGAAGGTGTAGAGGTGGGAATTGAACCCACGACCTTCAGGCCTTAAGGCCAATGCTCTACCAACTGAGCTACTGTAACTGAACCAGAGAAGACATAAATATGTGATTGATGTGAAACCAAAATTACGCTTTCAGAGCGTCCACCTGTTCAATTAAAGTGGTTCTGGTTCAGTTAAAGTGGTTCTGGTTCAGTAGTACTCACATTTGAACACACCCTGGCAGTAGTAGAGTGGTTAGCACATGAAAGTCTGTGTCAACAAACTATTCTGGAGCCGCAGCCTTGTGTCAAGAGGCAGCTCTAACTGAAGCAGCTCTAACTGAAGCAGCTCTAACTGAGGTAGCTCTAACTGAGGCAGCTCTAACTGAAGCAGCTCTAACTGAAGCAGCTCTAACTGAGGCAGCTCTAACTGAGACAGCTCTAACTGAAGCAGCTCTAACTGAAGCAGCTCTAACTGAGGCAGCTCTAACTGAGGCAGCTCTAACTGAAGCAGCTCTAACTGAGACAGCTCTAACTGAAGCAGCTCTAACTGAGACAGCTCTAACTGAGACAGCTCTAACTGAAGCAGCTCTAACTGAAGCAGCTCTAACTGAGGCAGCTCTAACTGAGGCAGCTCTAACTGAGACAGCTCTAACTGAAGCAGCTCTAACTGAGACAGCTCTAACTGAGGCAACTCTAACTGAAGCAGCTCTAACTGAGGCAACTCTAACTGAAGCAGCTCTAACTGAAGCAGCTCTAACTGAGGCAGCTCTAACTGAAGCAGCTCTAACTGAGGCAGCTCTGACTGAGGCAGCTCTAACTGAAGCAGCTCTAACTGAAGCAGCTCTAACTGAAGCAGCTCTAACTGAGGCAGCTCTAACTGAGGCAGCTCTAACTGAGACAGCTCTAACTGAAGCAGCTCTAACTGAGACAGCTCTAACTGAGGCAACTCTAACTGAAGCAGCTCTAACTGAGGCAACTCTAACTGAAGCAGCTCTAACTGAAGCAGCTCTAACTGAGGCAGCTCTAACTGAGGTAGCTCTAACTGAGGCAGCTCTAACTGAAGCAGCTCTAACTGAAGCAGCTCTAACTGAGGCAGCTCTAACTGAGACAGCTCTAACTGAAGCAGCTCTAACTGAAGCAGCTCTAACTGAGGCAGCTCTAACTGAGGCAGCTCTAACTGAAGCAGCTCTAACTGAGACAGCTCTAACTGAAGCAGCTCTAACTGAGACAGCTCTAACTGAGACAGCTCTAACTGAAGCAGCTCTAACTGAAGCAGCTCTAACTGAGGCAGCTCTAACTGAGGCAGCTCTAACTGAGACAGCTCTAACTGAAGCAGCTCTAACTGAGACAGCTCTAACTGAGGCAACTCTAACTGAAGCAGCTCTAACTGAGGCAACTCTAACTGAAGCAGCTCTAACTGAAGCAGCTCTAACTGAGGCAGCTCTAACTGAAGCAGCTCTAACTGAGGCAGCTCTGACTGAGGCAGCTCTAACTGAAGCAGCTCTAACTGAAGCAGCTCTAACTGAAGCAGCTCTAACTGAGGCAGCTCTAACTGAGGCAGCTCTAACTGAGACAGCTCTAACTGAAGCAGCTCTAACTGAGACAGCTCTAACTGAGGCAACTCTAACTGAAGCAGCTCTAACTGAGGCAACTCTAACTGAAGCAGCTCTAACTGAAGCAGCTCTAACTGAGGCAGCTCTAACTGAAGCAGCTCTAACTGAGGCAGCTCTGACTGAGGCAGCTCTAACTGAAGCAGCTCTAACTGAAGCAGCTCTAACTGAGGCAGCTCTAACTGAAGCAGCTCTAACTGAGGCAGCTCTGACTGAGGCAGCTCTAACTGAAGCAGCTCTAACTGAAGCAGCTCTAACTGAAGCAGCTCTAACTGAGGCAGCTCTAACTGAGGCAGCTCTAACTGAGGCAGCTCTAACTGAGACAGCTCTAACTGAGGCAGCTCTAACTGAAGCAGCTCTAACTGAGGCAGCTCTAACTGAAGCAGCTCTAACTGAAGCAGCTCTAACTGAGGCAGCTCTAACCTGTGATGACGTGGGGGATACTGGTGACGTTGAGTTTCTGCTCAGATCCTTTCACGCCGCTCTTCGGGTCCTGCATCTCCACCAGCAGAGCCTCCATCTGGAACAAAGAGCAGTCAGACTGTAGTATGAGTACTATTACACTGTCAGATTGTAGTAAGAGTACTGCTACACTGTAAATCAAAACACTGGTGGTGTACAGTGTGCGAGTGTTATTTTATTCTTTTATGTAGTTGTTGAAAATGATGTATAACATGGTGGCCGTACAAACCTCTTACTTGTTTTGTTGTTAGCAATGTTTGCAAGTTCATTTTAATGCATTAACTCCTTTCAAGTCCCCCTGTGTGCCCCTCATATACCCCTGTGTGCCCCTCATATACCCCTGTGTGCCCCTCATATACCCCTGTGTGTCGCTCATATACCCCTGTGTGCCCCTCATATACCCCTGTGTGCCCCTCATATATCCCTGTGTGTCCCTCATATACCCCTGTGTGTCCCTAATATACCCCTGTGTGCCCCTCATATATCCCTGTGTGCCCCTCATATACCCCTGTGTGCCCCTCATATACCCCTGTGTGTCCCTCATATACCCCTGTGTGCCCCTCATATACCCCCGTGTGCCCCTCATATACCCCTGTGTGTCCCTCATATACCCCTGTGTGCCCCTCATATACCCCTGTGTGCCCCTCATAGGCTGACTATCAGGAGTGGACTGACTGAGTGTGACATCACCATTGTGTTTGCCTTATTGCAGAAGAGGCCGAACATAAGCTAGCTGGAGCCAATTTCTTCCGTGGCATTAGCTTCGCGCAGCCGCAGTGGCAGACATGTTACCAAAAGCTTGCGTTTGCCCGCGGATAAAGGCTTCTGATTGGTCAATCCTTGTATGGCTCATATCTGGATTTACAAAAACAACATCATAACTCCAGGATCACAGAGAGCGCTACACCGCAGATGTTTAGGCCAGAAATGGTGAACGTGGCACAAACAGTTACTGAGCCACAGAAGTTTACTTGGCCTTTGACCCTGAAAGTCGTGGGTTCGAGATCACCACGAGATCTTCTCCACCAACTCCTATTGATGTCTGCTGTCGTTGTTTCCTCGAGCAAGACACTTAACCCCACTTTGCCTGAAGCCCCACTGAAAGATCAAGACAATGGGCCTCATTCACGAACGGTTCTTAGGAACAGATTTGTACGTAAATCCTACTTACGAGGTTTTTACGAAGAAAGTGGCATTCACAAATTTTTCTCGCTCGTAACCAGAATTTCTCTTGGGCAAGTACAAATCCTACGAGTCCTCAGGAGCACTCGTACGCATTCAGTGCCGACATGTTTGCACGCTGGTGTTATGAAGTTCAATAAAACACAACATTACAGTGATATGTTTGTCATATTGATGTATGTATTTATTTATTTGTAGTAATCTTTATTTATATACCGCCTTTTTCACTGCAGATCTGGCCTACTTTTTAATTCATTTTGAAATGAAATGTGCCAACGCTTTATCAAATACATTGGAAATCTTGCCGTGTATTAGTGACCCCTTCCTATGTATAGGGGGCATTTCTTTATCCACGGGCCACAGAACAACGGCATATATACTGCTGCTGCAGGAGGTTACTGGGTCCGCGCTGAGTCTCTGCGCTGGTCTCTCCCATGGATCTATACGGGTCTGCACTGGTCTCTCCCATGGATCTATACGGGTCTGCACTGGTCTCTCCCATGGATCTATACGGGTCTGCACTGGTCTCTCCTATGGATCTATACGGGTCTGCGCTGGTCTCTCCTATGGATCTATACGGGTCTGCACTGGTCTCTCCCATGGATCTATACGGGTCTGCACTGGTCTCTCCTATGGATCTATACGGGTCTGCACTGGTCTCTCCCATGGATCTATACGGGTCTGCACTGGTCTCTCCCATGGATCTATACGGGTCTGCGCTGGTCTCTCCTATGGATCTATACGGGTCTGCGCTGGTCTCTCCCATGGATCTATACGGGTCTGCACTGGTCTCTCCCATGGATCTATACGGGTCTGCTCTGGTCTCTCCCATGGATCTATACAGGTCTGCTCTGGTCTCTCCCATGGCTCTAGACGGGTCTGCACTGGTCTCTCCATACGGGTCCGTGCTGCATGCTCCTGGATCCATACGGGTCCGCGCTGGTCTCTCAAGTCTGGTCTATGCGGTCTCTCTTCGGTCCGCGCTGGTCTCTGCGCACCGGTCTCTCCAGTCAGGTCACTACAGTCTCTGCGGTCTCTCCTATAGGTCCGCGCTGGTTTCTGTGTGCTGGTCACTCCAGTCTCTCCTCGGGTCTGCATTGGTCTCAGCGCTGGTCCGCTCTGGATCTCCTCCCAGGGTCCAAAATATTTTGAGATTAATCTCAAAACATTTTGAGATTCATCTTTAAAATAATACATAATATATTTTTAAATTAAGCTCATAACATTTTGAGATTAATCTCATCATATTCTTAGATTAATCTCATAATTTTGCTAGTTCGACTTTCATTTTCATTTCATTTCATTTTCAACCCCTTTGTCCATTTCTGGGTCGGGGGGGTGGCAATGAGAGCTGCCACCCAACGCTCATAGCACCAGTCCCTCGCTGATCTTCTGCAGGGGGTGAGTCCACAGGAAGATGGCTGCTCTGTCAATTATGAAACAGCCTTGATCTTTCAGCGGGGGGCTTCAGGCAATGTGGGGTTAAGTGTCTTGCCCAAGGACACAACGACAGCAGTCATCAGTGGGAGCAGTTGGAGTAGGTCCCATGGTGGGAATCTAACTCACGACCTCCAGGCCCAAAGGCCAATGCTCTACCAACTGAGCTACTGTCGCCCCTTTATTCTCATAATGGGCGGCACGGTGGCTGAGTGGATAGCACTTTCGCCTCTCAGCAAGAAGGTCCTGGGTTCGAATCCTGGCCGGACCAGGGCCTTTCTGAGTGGAGTTTGCATGTTCTCCCCGTGTCTGCGTAGGTTTCCTCCGGGTACTCCGGTTTCCCCTACCACTAAAAAAACATGCACAATAGGTCTGGCATGCGCCTCCTGTACTGGCCCCGCTCCCATCTCTGTGTGGAGCGAGAGGACCAATGCCCAAAAATAATAACAATTGTAAACCGCTTTGTGACTCTGGTCTGTGAAAGGCGGTATATAAATAAAGATTACTTACTTACTTACTTACATAATATTTCGACTTTTAAGCCAACATTTTATAACTTTATTTATTTATTTATCTTGCAAAAGAAGAAAAAAGGGTGACTCTTTTGCTCCGTGTAACTCTTTGCTTTAGGCCTGTTGCTGTTTCCTCTGCCGTCTGCACACGGCCCTTCAGTCCCTTATATGGGCATGAATGGGCGGTTACCTATGCTAAGTACCTATGCTAATGAAGCACCGGGCACGCGCGCTCTACTTACGAGGAGTTGGCATTCATCAATCTGAGAGAACAGCTGCGAACAATTCAGCGGCTTATGAGCGCGTTGATGAATCTACTTAAGAACGACTTGAGAAGAAATTTAAGAAGTTTCTTACGAAGTTATTTGTGAATGAGGCCCAATGCTCTCATTGACAGAGCAGCCATCAGTGAAGCGTTGGTGCCATTTGACTGTCTTACACAGAAGTCGTTTTTTAATTGATTCCCTCAAGCTTAGAGAGCGATCTTTCTCTTTCTTACTGAAGGGGGAGCTAAAGGCCTCAGTCCAATTTGATGATACAGCACTAAGGTGAAGAAGCCCACTGGTGATTGGGAAATCCAAACAGACACATCCACGAGGGCCTGAATCAGCGCAACTCCTTTACTGAGTCCCACGAACAGCACAGTCATGGATGCATTACCAATCTTTATGAGTCACATTGAGCTCTGTTGTTGTTATTGCTCCTGTCGCAGACTAAAAGCGTTAGCATCATGTCAACTTTGAGAAAAGCTTTTTTTTCCGGCGTGAATATGGGATGACACTATTTGGCCTAAAGACGAAAGAATGCAGCGAATGTGGCTACATTTTATTTACAGGGATCTGCTTCCGATCACTTCATCAAAGACTGCTTCCAAACTCACGGTTACCATGACACTGGACTTACTCAATTCTCCCACAATAAAAGACGCATTGATCTGTAAGTACAATGCTAATAACTCGCCATAAAATTAGGGTCTGATTCTGGGTCGAGGTCCGAGGATATAGGGCTTTATGTGACGGATCGCCATTGTTGGAAAAAGTTTCTTCTTAGGTTTGGACGAACACCAAACGCTGTGTGTTTACCAAAGATTGTGAATAATGCCAAGTCAGCGAGAGCTCAAGCTATGTCACCGATTAAGGTGATGTCACTTCTATGCAACAACGGGCTATAAGTTACGGGTGTTTTATGGTTTATCTCCAAACTTATCATCAGACATGTGATTAGGATGGGCTGTGAAACATGAAGAAGAGGGACTTTAAGGGTCCTTTAAGATAAGATAATCCATCAGTCGTCCCACAGTGGGGAAATTTCATTATCATCGTTGCACACATTACAAAAGAAAAAAGGAATTAAGAGCACTCAGATTGCACACAACAATGTCTATTATTGAAGATAATAGATAAAACACTTAAAATAATAAGTAAAAAGATGGTAAAAAAAATAATAAAAATGTGTATATTGTACTTTCATGTAATGTACAATACAGACCAAAAGTTTGGACACACCTTCTCATTCAAAGAGTTTTTTATTTTCATGATTATGAAGATTCTAGATTCACACTGAAGGCATCAAAACTATGAATGAACTCATGTGAATTATGTACGTACTAAAAATATATATATATATAAAACAAGTGAATATTTGTTATATTCTGGGTTCTTCAAAGTCACACCTTTTGCTCTGATACTGCTTCACACAATCTTGGCATTCTCTGGATGAGCTTCAAGAGGACCTGAAATGGTCTTCAACAGTCTTGAAGGAGTTCCCATGATGCTTAGCACTTGTTGGCCCCTTCACTCTGTGGTCCAGCCCCAAAACCATCTGGACTGGGTTCAGGTCCGGTGACTGTGGAGGTCATGTGGCCCAGCACCATCACTCTGCTTATTTGCTTATTGGTCAAACAGCTCTTACACAGCTGGGTGTGGATCTACAGACAATAGCCATGAAAAGAAAGAACACTCAATGAATGAGAAAGTGTGTCCAAACTTTTGGTCTGTACTGTATATAATCATAAGGAGTCATGAGTGCGCCAGAAGTGCGGTAATAGCATGGATGGATCTAAAATCAACTCCAGGGGAATAATGTTTTATCACAATCTCAGTTTGCAGTTTACAATGTTCAGAGTTCCGATATTTTTCCATTCTTTCCACACGGTGATGACGGAAGCGAGACGCCGAACACACTTGGCCATCAAAGCCCTCGACCAACACCGTCCATTCAGACCTGTTGTCCATCTTTCTAGTCACAGGGAAAACCTACAGTCATCCCATAACAACGCTTTATCTCCAGACAAAGACTGCGTTAATGATCTTTCTGTCATGTTTCCTGAATATGTCATAGCTGCAGATTAGACTTTAGACCCTGACCCCACAGACTATGAGAGCTGACCATGAGAGCTGACCACACTGACCATGAGAGCTGACCATGAGAGCTGACCACACTGACCTTCTTGAGGCCATGGATACGAGGCCTGAAGTGCTGGTCCCGGGTGGGCCTGACCGTGCGGATGGTCATTTTGGCTCCGGAAGTCGAAAGTCAGATCAAAGTCTTCAAAGCCTGGAGAGGAGCCTGGAGAAAAGCTTGGAGAGAGGATCCGGGAGAGAAGCCTGGAGAAAAGCCTGGAGAGAAGCCTGGAGAGAGAAGCCTGGAGAGAGAATCCGGGAGAGAAGCCTGGAGAGAGAAGCCTGGAGAGAGGCTGGAGACGACTCTGAGAGGATTGAGGAGAGAGAAAAGCCCTGCAGATTAGTGCAGAACAGAAAAGCTCATGAAGTCACAGTGCAGGACGTGTCGCGGCCAGCAGAGGGCGACAGTCCTCTACTCAGCACTGTTTAGGCCTGATGTTTGACAAAAACAGTAGTCAACAAACATGTGTTTATTTGTGTGTACGTTTAGTAAGAGTGTGTAGTATGAGTGTGTTGACATGTATATGTGTATGTGAGCGTGTAGTATGTGTTTACATGAAGTGTGTATTTTGTGTATTTTCATGTAGTTTGTGTGTGTTAGTATGTTTATCTACATGTAGTATGTGTGTGCGTGTCTGTGTCTACATGTAGTATGTGTGCGTACGTCTAGTGCGTGTGGGTAGGTGAAGTGTGTGTGTGTGTGTGTACATGTAGTATGTGTGCGTACGTGTAGTGTGTGCACGTTTAGTATGTGTGTGTCCACTTGTAGTATGTGTGAATGTGTAGTGTGTTTGTACGTATAGTGTATGTGTAATGTGTGTACGTGTATATATGTGTGTGCAAGTGTAGTGTCTACATGTAGTGTGTGCATGTATGCGTAGTGTGTGGGTGTAGAACGTGGTGTGTGTGTACATGTAAGCAAGTGCGCATACGTCTAGTGTGTCTGTGTACGTGTAGTATGTACGTGTGTGTGTATATATGCAGTTTGTGTGTAGAGTGTGGGTCGAGAAGTGATGACGTGGTCCACATTTAACTTATTTTATTCAGTTTCATTCTTTTATTTCAGAACGACATTTATTTTGAGCAGAAACAACAGAGAATGAGTGACGTTCCATCGGCTGCGGTCACAGACGTCAGGGTCCTACGTCAGCAGAAGACTTCATATTATTCTCATTATAAAAATACAAACACAGAGTTGTAGAGACACACACTGGAGCCTGCTTTGACACAGGTCCACACGGTACTGTCCAGGCTCCACAAACATGTCCTGCTCATGGGTTCCTCGGCAGCCCCTCCTCCCTGTCTTACACTGCAAAAAGCGATCAAATATGAGGTAATAGATAATAATAATAATTCTGACTGTATCAAAACAAGATTTGCCAATTGGACAAAGACATTTAGCCTCATTTCAATTAATTTTATTTTCTCATTCCAAGGGAGATATTTCTTTAATCTTTTTGCTTTGTCTCTTTGGCAAATCTTGTTTTAAGGCAGTCAAAATGTGCTCAAATTAAGATACATTTTGTACAATTTGAGTAATTTTTAACTATTTTCTCATCACTTTTTGCACTGTAGGAAGGTGAGGACAGGGGTGTGGCCCTACAGCTAAAGCAGGGGTGTCCAAACTATAGAGCCACGTGGGAGCCTGGAGGTGGCCCCGGCCTCTACCATGGGCTGGGGCTGTGGTTTTAGTCATCTCTTACTCCATTAAACATGTCTGTCTGTGTGTGTTACACTTGGGAAATGATGTCACATTCTAAAAGTCCTCAGAGATCATGAAGCAATTTATATTAGTCTGTGTGTGGACAAAAGTGTGGACACCCCTGATCTGAAGGTTCACTCATGCTCCTACATACACACACACACAGGCGCGCACACTCACAGGTGCACAGACACAAACACACAAACACTAGGGGTGTGACGATATATCGATAAGTATCAATATACATTTTGAAAATAAATATTTTTTTGATAATTTTTTTTTATTTAATTTAATTTTTTTTAACATATTTTTTTTTTAAATTGGCATCAATACTTAAAGACCTTATGACGGGTTTGATTTATTTAGAAATACAGTTTTAATACCATTTTATATTAGAAGAGAACTACTAAAGGTTTCAAAATCAGTTTTTTTTGTCTGATCCCCCCAAATCGAAATAACCCCATAGCAACGCCCTTAGAAACGAAAAAACTTCACAGCCCTTGGTGACGTCAGAGTGGGTACGTTTCAACGCTGTAAGTTGTTTACAATTTGGTATTCGTTCTTTTTTCGCGGATATTCAAGATGACAAGGCCGTGTACAGCGAGTCTCAGCGAGACACTTTTTCACACTCAAAACGGCAATTTATGTGTAGTGAGCAATTGTCACCTGTAGAGGGCAGTATTGTGTTGGGCACCAGTGGAGAGAAGAAAGAAAAGGCATGAAGAAAGAAAAGGTTTTCAATGCATGGGCGTAACCCGCTATGACGTCACACACAGGTTAGAGCATAGACAACTTAAATTCATGAAAAACACGTTCTTTTTTATAAAATATAGGATTTTTTTTGCCGGAATCTCTTTCAAATTGACATTGTCATGCAATTTTGATATCCACTATTTTTTTTTTTAAAAACCCGTCATAAGGTCTTTAATATAAGGCTACATTACGCATCTCCATTCCGTTTATCATGAAATAAAGTGTATTTTTTCTTTTATTTATGCCATAAATTGGCATATTGTATATTTCTGACTAATATATCGATAATCGTCATATCGTGATAATATCGTTATTGTGAGCTTTGTATCGTGTATCGTATCGTGAGGTACCCTTAGGTTCCCACCACTAACTCGTACACAAAAACATTTGCGCACACACTCATACACACAAATACTCACTTACACACACACTCATACACATGCAAACACTCACATAATCACACATAAACACACACACAGTCATACAAATACACACACTCATTCACTCAAATACTCATAATCACATAGAAACACACACGCATACATACAAACAGTCACTCATACACACAAACACTCTCCATATAGACGCGAGCAGTCACACTCACATACACACACACTCATGCATACACACAAACGCGCACACACACACTCATACGCATACACACACACACTCATGCATACACACACACACACACACACACACACACACACACACACACATACACACACGGTACCCAGGTTCAGGACATCATTTTGCTAAATCATGCACATAATTGTTACACATGACGTTTTCTGTTGTCTCTCAGATCAGCGTGTGATTAAAGCTGGGGTACGCAACTTTCAACGCACACAAGTGAACGCACAATCGCTGCTCCTATCCCTAGTTTCCACATGCATGGTCAGTATGTTTGGCCTCCGTCACATCCGTACATCAGCTTTTTCAGACAGAAAAGTGACAAAGAGCGGACCGCCCTCACTCGGCCAATCAGGGCTTTCTAATGGTCTGGTCCGTTCACAACATTTGTACTTCCTGTTGGTACAAAGACGTATTATTTGCAAAACAAAACAGTTAAACACCCCAGTTTTAATCTCACTTTAGCAAATGCTACAGTGTCTTTCACATGTTGACGCTGACAGAGGCGACGATGGACTTCTGTGCCTTTGTTTTTGTTTCCAGAACCCTCCACAGTCCGCACACCTCCGTTTGAGAAGCACCGGAGCGTGCGTGAGTCTCTTTACAGTCGGGCTCCATCTGGGCCTGGGGCTGGTTGGGTCGGGGGTCCCTGGTCCCAATGTTAGGTCCGCTACTGGGATGTAACATTGTAAATATATCGGTTCAATTTCTTTTTGGAGAGAGGAATACCCCGCCCTGATCATGACATGGCCTCATTTTATGTATGATTATAGAAAGACAGAGAGAAATTAGGCTCGTCAACATGTAGAAATGAAAAGATCGGTTCTGCATTAAATAGCACACTCTACGGCAGGGGTCAGGACCAAAACTGGAGCATTTGACCAATGTAAGTTTTGTTCTAATACAGAGTAAGCGTTCATTTATCTTGTGATGTGTGCTCCTCATTCCTACTGTTCTGTAACGGAAAACTCTGCACTGAGGGACAAATAAAGGATCTTTTCATCTTAGTGGAAGGGGCAACCATAGGACTTGGAGGAAACCTATGCAGACACAGGGAGAACATGCAGGTAGGCCCTGTAGGCCCTGTTCCGACCGGGATGCAAACCCAGGAAGCAAAAGTACCAATTACTCAGCCGTCTCAAAAATACTCGGTAACATTTAGCGTCATTTGGCCTCATTCACGAATAACTTCGTAAGAAACTACTCAACTTTCTTCTCAAGTTGTCCTTAAGTAGATTTCTAAGAAGTCCCCACGTGGGATTCATCAACGCACTCGTAAGCCGCTGAATTGTTCGCAGCTGTTCTCTCAGATTGATGAATCCCATTTCCTCGTAAGTACAGCGCGCGTGCCAGGTGCTTCATTAGCATAGGTACTTAGCATAAGTAACCGCCCATTAATGCCCATATAAGGGACTGCAGGGCCGTGTGCAGACGGCAGAGGAAACAGCAACAGGCCTAAAGCAGAGTTACACGGAGCAAAATAGTCACCCTTTTTTCTTCCTTTACCAGACTGAGAATAAAGTTATAAAATGTTGACTTAAAAGGCGAAATATTATGATAATAAAGTCGAACTAGCAAAATTATGAGATTAATCTAAGAATATGATGAGATTAATCTCAAAAATGTTATGAGCTTAATTTAAAAATATATTATGTATTATTTTAAAAATGAATCTCAAAATGTTTTGAGATTAATCTCAAAATATTTTGGACCCTGGGAGGAGATCCAGCGCGGACCAGCGCTGAGACCAATGCAGACCCGAGGAGAGACTGGAGTGACCAGCACACAGAAACCAGTGCGGACCTATAGGAGAGACCGCATAGACTGGAGTGACCTGACTGGAGAGACCGGTGCGCAGAGACCAGCGCGGACCGAAGATAGACCGCATAGACCAGACTTGAGAGACCAGCGCGGACCCGTATGGATCCAGGAGCATGCAGCACGGACCCGTATGGAGAGAGACCAGTGCAGACCCGTATATGGGAGAGACCAGTGCAGACCCGTCTAGATCCATGGGAGAGACCAGTGCAGACCCGTATAGATCCATGGGAGAGACCAGCGCAGAGACTCAGCGCGGACCCAGTAACCTCCTGCAGCAGCAGTATATATGCCGTTGTTCTGTGGCCCGTGGATAAAGAAATGCCCCCTATAAATAGGAAGGGGTCACTAATACACGGCAAGATTTCCAATGTATTTGATAAAGCGTTGGCACATTTCATTTCAAAATGAATTAAAAAGTAGGCCAGATCTGCAGTGAAAAAGGCGGTATATAAATAAAGATTACTAATAAAGATTACTACAAATAAATAAATACATACATCGATATGACGGACATATCACTGGAATGTTGTATTTTTATTCAACTTCACCAAAGAGGACAACCCCGGCTGTGAACATGTCGGCACTGAATGCGTACGAGTGCTCCTGAGGACTCGTAGGATTTCTTCTTGCCCAAGAGAAATTCTGGTTACGAGAAATATTCGTGAATGCCACTTTCTTCGTAAAAACCGCGTAAGTAGGATTTACGTACAAATCTGTTCCTAAAAACCGTTCGTGAATGAGGCCCATTGTTTTTTGTTGTTGACACATTCTCAAAACCGAGGTGTGTTTTTGCACTTTGGTTGCACTTCATCACAGCAGACCTCCACAGGCTGCTGCTTGTCTGAGTGGGCGTGGCCAACTGTAGAGTGTGCTATTGTAAAGACGACAGCCTCAGTATTGGACCAGGAGCCAAAGAAAGTGGATGGGATTTCCCTATCAAACATTTCAGAGCATTTTCTAGATTTTGTTTTTTAAAACTGGGATTAGAAGTCCACACGTTGCTACACGGGTCCATCCTGTCACAAGGACATGAGAGTAAAACATGCCACACGGAGCGCTTTGCACCACATTTGGAACGACTGTCCACACAGAGACGAAACCGCCGTGTCCTGGGAGTCCCATGGCACGTCACGGAGCACGGCCGAACCACGGAGCAGTGTCCAGGTCCCTCGGTCTGCTCAGAGCGCCGCAGTCCTGGAAGCAGAGAGTCACAGCAGGCCTCAACAATCACATATGTACCCTGCATGTCCAAACCACTGCCCGCGGTCCATATGCGGCCCACTGTGTCATTAGGTGTGGTCCTCTGCCTCTCGGTAAAGCAATTGAAGTTCAAAATACATCTGCTATTGCCAGCAGAACATGTTTATAATGAAAACGACCCACCGGCGGGCTGGTGGGTTTTAAGAAGTTAATTAAACAGGAGTTGATTTAAACCTTATATACAGTTAAATGTACACAGAAAGCAGTGATCTATCTGAGTCTAGCTGAGGACCGGCACTTTATCAGCCCTTTAAATCTGCTCCTGAAGAGGCCTGTGTCTGCAGTGAGTGGCCTGGGGGGGGAGGGGGGGTCATTGTGTTCAGTACTGTCCTCTTTCCACTGAATAGACATTTTTTGTTTGACGCAGTCTATGTTTCTTATCCAGACGTCTTTTGGCTTCAGGGTGAAATGATGAATGCTGTTAAAGCCTGAGAGGAGGCAGCAGACTCTGGATCCTGCATAAGATGGAAGTAAGTCATATTTAATTATATAGCACCTTTCCCAGACAGGGTTTGTAGTGTCACATGAACTGTTTGCTGCAGTTAGTTTAAATAATCACTGTGGTATTGTAATCTAGGACCAACATCAGTTTGACTTGTTATTGTTAGTGTAGTTTATGACATGTGACACTGAGAGAACACCATCCGATGACGACAGACACACACATGGATACATCACCTTTTACAGAGCGGGTCACGGACATGAACGATCTGACACAGGATCCAGACTCTGCTCAAACAAAAGAACCAAAGGCTTTTTCTTTCATTATTCTACATCATTCATCACTTCTCCCTCCGGCAAAAAGAAACTAAAGCCCTGTTTCCACCCTACTTGGCTCTGCTCTGCTCTACTCTACTCTACTTATAATATTATATTTAATTACATTTGTTAGCTTTGTCCCAGACATTACAAGATTACGACAGCGTCAATCAAAATCAAGTTACCTGGTTTCTTACATCATGCGCAGCGACAAAACGTGTCCTGCTGTGGTTTGCTAAAGCTAAAGGTGTTTGGAGGCTACAAACAAATAATACCTCCTTTAAAATGAAACATGGTTAAAATCCACAACCGAAAAACATAAAGGAGGAGAAAAGTCACATGTGTCAGAGGTGAGGCTGAAGGTGCAAAGACTGCGGCAGAGGGAACATCTGAGAGGGCAGCGGAGAACACTGAGGCCCTCCACCTCTGCTATGGTGGGATCCTGCCAAGACCATCACCTGCGTTACTATGCAAGTAAAAATATGCAGGGTTCTTATTTTGGGATGGCGAATGCAGCTGGGTACGCGCCACTACGCTCGTCTCCTGGTGTTTTGTGGACGGTCCGCGCTGATAACGTGGGCACTAGTCTCTACGCTTAACATATCGTGTGATGTGTACAAAGCGTTACTCCAAATCAAGGAAATACATGCTTTACATTTCATGCGACGGGAAGGACTGTTGAGGTGGGGGTCGCGGGGGAGCTTTGGGAACCCCTGCTCTACTCTACTCTACTCTGCTTGAACCTACTCTAACAGAACAAGAGTAAAGTCAGTAGTCTCTGTATGACACAACAAAAGTAGATGGGACTAAACAAACATTGTATATAAATCTGTGAAAGTGAAGTGAGTGAAGTGCAGTCTCACCTGTTGTCACGAGGGCTGTTAGAGGGGCTGGGGGTAGGTCTGGCACGGCTCATAGCTCAGATCGGGCAGGTATGGCTCTTGTAGGTCTGGGTCCAGGGGGAGCTCTGAGTATCCGTACGAGGGGTACGAGACGGGCACCTCTGCGGGATTACAGAGGGCAGGTCAGTGAGTGAGCCCGACACTTACAGACTTTGGTCTCTGCCCCGTATGGACCAATGGCTCTATGAGTTTTTATTAGCGCTGTCAAACGATCACATTTTTTTAGTTGATTAATCGCAAAGTAATGGTGAGTTAACTCACGATTAATCAAATTTTTTACATTCTATTTTAAATCCACTCCAATTGAAGTTAAATTAGATTATCAAATATAATGCCACATTGTCTTTCATACCAAATGTACTTACATTTGTTAGATTTGCTCACAACCTTTTGCTTTTGGGCACAACCAAAATGAGCTGTTAATGAAAGGGGTAAATTTACATACCCCAGCTTTAAATCAGCGAGTTTAGTTTAGTTTAGTTTCAGGAAAAGACACGGCCACTTTCGCGCTGTATTTGCGTGCACAGGTTACACACAGGTTGCAAAGACACAAACACAACATGCAGTGAATAGTTCTGTGGCGTGTTTGGTCTTATATGACCATGTTACCGCGGCGCCATTCGCTCACAGCCGCTCACCGTGTTGTTGTTAGCGGCTCACAGCCAGAGCGGCCGCGGAGGAGGCGGACTTCAGTTCATAGCAAACAACAGCCCCATGGTCACGGGCCTACCTGCTCTGATGCCATCTCACACGAAGCATTCTGAGTGATATTATGGATAAATGGGCGGGTCATTCGGACATGCGTTAATGCGTTTTTTAACGCGTTAATTAAAAATGTAATTAACGTGAGTTAACGCGATAATTTTGACAGGCCTAGTTTTTATTATTGCATTTGCTGATTTGAACCGTTTGATTCTCTGATCTGTGTCGGCGAATCAACAACTATGTTAGGTCCTCCGAGAAAACTACTGTTGTGATTTAGGGCAATACAACAATGAATTGAACTGAATTGAGTTCTGCCCCATGTGGAGAATAGCTCTTACCTTCTGCCAGGTAGGTGGGCTCGAGGCCGACCACCGAATGAGCCTGGACACACAGAAGAGATGACATGACACATGTTCTAGAACATTCCCCACTGGACTAATGCTAGTTTTGTTGTTGTTGAAAAATGCTGTTTATCCATCCATCCATTTTCTTGGAGTCAGAGCTGCACCCAGTTCACAGAGCACCGGCCCCTCACTGATCCTCCTGCAGGTGCTGAGTCTACAGGAGCCTTGATTATTCAGCAGGGGCATCAGGCAAAGTGGGATTAAGTGTCTTGCCCAAGGACACAACAACAGCAGTCATCAGTGGGAGTCGTGATGTAGGTCTTGTGGTGGCTCGAAACCCACGACCTTCAGGCCCAAATGACTTATTGTATGTAACTTTTAGAATGATGTATTTATTGTTTGTATGGATGGATGTGTTTCTGCTGCTGGACCTGATTTTCTTCTATGAAGGATCAATAAAGTAATCTAACTATGGAATCTAACATGCAAACTCCAATTGGACAGGTAGTGTTCCCACTGGGATTCAACCCCAGGACCTCCTTGCTGAGAAGCGAGAGTGCAAACCACTGTGCCACTGTGTGCCGTCTGAATAGAATCAGTTTTTTAACACACTCATGCACACATCCAGTTTCTACATTTCAATCACAGAACACACTCCTCTGTATGAATGATGTCACGCCACGTTAGTTGTTTAACATTAAAGCTTTTTGTTAATTCTTCTACTAAAGTTTCAACCCAACCCAGGGGGGATGTTGGCAGTTGCCGGGACCCTCACCATGTCCCAGGACACCGGGTCGTGCTTGAACAGGGAGTGGGTGAGCTCCACGGACACTCTCTTCCTGTAGTCCGAGCTCTTGTCTTCAGAGATCCGGAACAGCACCGCCGCCGCGTACGTGGCTGCAACAAGAGGTGGTGGCAACATCCTGTTAACCCTGCAGGCCACATGAGCCCCGAACCCAGGGCACATTCTATACAGAGACCTGGCTTCAGGTCTCTGTATAGAATGAAGCCAGGTTTCCCTTCATTTTCTATTTTATCTATACTAGTATTTGTAAATGTGTGTATGTGTGTGAGTGTGTATGTGTGCGAGTGCGATTGTGTGTATGAGTGTGTGTGTGAGTGTGTGTGTGTGTGTGTGTGAGTGCGAGCCTGTGTGCGTGTGTGTGTGTGTGTGTGTGTGTGTGTGTGTGTGTGTGTGTGTGAGTGCGAGCTTGTGTGCGTGTGTGTTTGTGTGTGTGTGTGTGTGTGTGTGAGTGCGAGCCTGTGTGTGTGTGTGTGTGTGTGTGGGTGCAAGTGCGATTGTGTGTATGAGTGTGAGCCTGTGTGTGAGTGTGTGTGTGTGTGTGTGTGTGTGAGAGTGTGTGTGTGTGTGAGTGCGAGCCTGTGTGCGTGTGTGTGTGTGTCTTCTGAGATAACTGCATAGTGATTTTGGGCTATACAAAAATAAGTTGATACTAATTGATTGGTCAGATGTCAGGGGACAAGATCAAATCTAAATAAAAACAGTTGGATCATATAGAACTGTGAACCACAGATTTTAATCCCGAAGTCCAATGTGACCGACACGGTGACAGAACTAGAGGAGTTTGTTTTTCAGTGAAAGTCACTGGAGCCAAAGCACCATGAGCACTTCCCTCTTGGGCTTCATGGAGCCAGCAGCTTAGCCTGGTGTGTACAGGGTGTGGCTGCTGTACCTATGCCCTCGTTGGGGGAGTGCAGCAGCTCCATGAGGGGTGCGGAGGCCCCCTCTGCGTCAATGAGCTCCGCAGACTGTTTGTCTAGGGCCAGTTCACACAGGACCCCGGCCGACACCCGCTTCACGTTCTCCACGTACGAGTAGAGCAGCTGGACACACACACAGGACACACTCATCAGCACTTCACTAACAAAACATTAGATGGGTATGCACATATACTGTGTGTATACTGGGTGTGTATATACATATTAATAGTGAGATATAACACCAGGCAAAGTGTGCTGCAGACAGTGTGTGTGTGTGTGTGTGTTTGTGTGTGTGTGTTTGTGTGTGTACCTGCACAAACAGTGGGATGGTCTGCAGGTTGGAGATCTCCCCTCGATTGATGGGGTCCCGGGCCAGAATGTGCAGGGCCCCTGTGCAGCCCTCCACGATCTCCTCCATCCGCACCCCGTCCTGGACACACACTCTGTGAACCTCCAAACACTGCACTCCACAGGGAACGCTCAAAGTCTGTCCCAAACCAGACTGTCCCAGACCAGACTATCCCAGACCAGACTGTCCCACACCAGACTGTCCCAGAACAGATTGTCCCAGACCAGACTGTCCCAGACCAGACTGTCCCAGACCAGACCGTCCCACACCAGACTGTCCCAGAACAGACTGTCCCAGACCAGACTGTCCCAGACCAGACTGTCCCAGACCAGACTGTCCCACACCAGACTGTCCCAGACCAGACTGTCCCAGACCAGACTGTCCCAGACCAGACCGTCCCACACCAGACTGTCCCAGACCAGATTGTCCCAGACCAGACTGTCCCAGACCAGACTGTCCCAGACCAGACCGTCCCACACCAGACTGTCCCAGACCAGACTGTCCCAGACCAGACTGTCCCAGACCAGACCGTCCCACACCAGACTGTCCCAGACCAGATTGTCCCAGACCAGACTGTCCCAGAACAGATTGTCCCAGACCAGACTGTCCCACACCAGACTGTCCCACACCAGACTGTCCCAGACCAGACTGTCCCAGAACAGACCCACACCAGCCCATGTACCTTGTATGTCTGCTGTGAGGATGTGTCGTGTCTCTGGATGTCCTGGTGGGCCTTCAGCAGCAGGTTGACCAGGCGGGGGATGGCCCCAGCCTCCCTCAGGGGGGCTTGGTTGGCCGGGCACAGAGCCAGGTTTCGGATGAGCCCCACGGTCGCCTAAACGAGAGCAGAACATCATTCATCATCATTCAAGACCAATCTATTTTGTGGGACTCCAGTAGATCTTACTGGGTCTGGATAAGCCGGTTCTTAGGTATTTATACAAACGTATTACTTGACTTGTAGATTGTACAAAATGGACCGAAGCAAAACAGTTTTAAGTAAGGCCTGTTATTGTAGACCAATCATTATTATTATTAGTAATATATTGTCCTGGATTTTTCTTGAGAAGAAATACCTTTCACATGATTAAACTTGTCACAGTAGCCAATATTCACCTACAAATGTTTGAACTCATTTCAAGTACCCCTTGTGTTACCCTCATGTGCCCCTAGGGGTCTGACCACCCCCAGTTCGAAACAAACAGGACAAGTACAGGTTTGGGAAGACCCAAGCCCAATCCTAGTTATGTTGCTACTTATTTTGCTACTTTCTTCAAGGCCATAAACACATGAATAGATTCAGGTGTCCAGCAGCAGAAACACACGTACCTGTAGAGGCCTGGAAATAGTCCAAGTAAAAATAGACACCCCTATAATTTTTATTTTTGTCATTTAATTATTTTATTTTCATATAAAACCTCATTTGGTTTACATACAGTACATCTCTTTTGAGTTAGATGTGGTCCCTACCCTTGACCACTAGATGGCGCATGACGCGTATTGATAGAGAATAGCTGAGGCATCGCAGAGGAAGAACAATCCTCTTGTGCTGAAGTAAAAAAACAGCTAAACGCATGTGCTCTCTATACATAGTTCCCACATGACGTCACTACATACGGGGATTTGCCGACCCGGCGCCATTTGTGTTGGCATGCTGTGGGCAAAACAATAGAAAAAGAAGCTGAAACGTGTTAATGTCGTGATAAAGTTGAAAATGGTCATCTCCTGCTGGGTCAATGGATGTTCAAATCGTGCCGGAGGTTCCGTTAAACTTGGATTTTACAGTATACCCATCATTAGACTTCATGAATGTGAGAAGACTAAGCTTTTGTCAGAACAACCACGGAGGTTATGGCTTGCGAAGATAAACAGGCAAGAAACTCCCTCAAAACACGCAAGAATATGCTCGGAGCACTTTGTGTCAGGTGCGTATCGTATCTTATAATGTGTTGACAGACGTAATTTACTCAGTACTAACTTGTGTATGCTGATATCTGGTAACTTGAGAGTTTCATTATTTAGCGTTAGATTACTTTATTATGAGGAGGATCGGTGTCGCGTCCGAGGCTCTCGAGGGCAACGTAAATGTATTAAATAGATAATAATAGTTCTATGGTGGGCTAAAACAATGTTCACAAACAGCATTGCTTCTGTAAAAAGATCTGTGTCATAAAATAAACTGCTCTTTACGCCTGGAAAAATCAGTTGCCCACCATTCACCAAAACATACGGTCAAAAACGCGGAAATAAACAATAACAGCAATCCAGAGTGTCCGTGTGGCATTAGCATTAATTAAATTAATTGTTAATATAATTAAAATAATTAAATGGAGCTCCAACTGGTATTAAATCTAAAGTTTTTGAGAAATGTTTGCATTGCTTGTTAATTTTTGCTGCATAATTTGATCAAATATGTAAAACATGTCCGTAGCACGTTAAACTGTGGTGCCATTGTATTAATATACAATTATTTGCTCAAAAGTTGCCCTTTTTTTCCAATTTGCGTTTGAATATCTACATTTATTCTCATTCTTCTGTTTAATGGAATGCACAAACACAGCAGCGTGCCATCAAAGATGGCGTCTCCGAGGAGGTCATGTGACATTCATTGGTCTGTGGGAACTATGTATTCTTTTATCACAGGTTGGTAACACTAAATGTTCGCAAAGTTTAGGTATATTATCCGAGTCATAAGGTGGTTATGGTAGAACTGTCAAGTGTGAAGGTAGCAGGAACGAAGTTTTGTACGTTTTTTTAGTAGAATTGTAATCGTGTTTAAGCTACCTGCTAAGCTAATGGTCAAGGGTAGGGGACTTACAACGCGGGGAAAAAGCAATATATACACAGAACCATTTGAGTATTATTAGGACATAGATGAAACGTTTTTCATTACAATGAGACACTTACTGGGTTTATTTTTATCACCAAGGTGTACATTAAAGGTTATGACCAAATACGAGTAATGCCATTGTACTACTGTATTAGATACAGAGTAGCCATTTTGTAGTTAAGGACATTGGCTTAGTTAATTATATATTAAGCACAGTGATTTCAGTAAAAGTATGTTTGCAGTTAAAAAGATAAATATTTGTACAGTTAAAAAGATAAATAGAAATAAAGATAAATATTGATTTATTTCATGGTAAGAATAATTAGTTAAAAAGGTAAAAAAATATACATTAAAAAAAGGTTAATACAATACATTTTGTATTTTATTTTTCTTACTTTTGGAGAAATTGTAATATTGTAATTGTCATATGTGATTAGTATAGCTTATTTAGCTACGGCCACATGGACTTTTGGACTCTTTGAAGGCCATTGAGAATAGTAATTGTATTTGGATCGCTGTTGTTGTTGATTGTAAAGAGGAAGAACAATCCTCTTGTGCTGAAGTAAAAAAACAGCTAAACGCATGTGCTCTCTATTCTTTTATCACAGGCAAGCTAGTACTTCGCACACAAGCACGTATGCCCTCTGAACCCCAGAGGAGCAACATACCCAAACAAACAAATAAATCATTCTAAAATACTGTTTTTTGTCTGACCACGGTCAGCTCACCTTGACCACGGTCAGCTCACCTTGACCACGGGCCAGTAGTGCGGCTGCCCCAGCAGCTTGAGCACATGGGGGATGCCGTAGTGCAGGCGGACCGTGTTCTGGGCCAGCTCGGCCTCTGGGTGTCTGGAGCTGAGGTGACGGAGGGCACACACGGCGGGCTCGGCCACGTCCTCCTTCTGACCGGCTCGGAGCAGAGCGTGGATCAGGGCCTCCACTCCCCCGAAGCCACTCACCAGGCTCTGGAACCACACCAGCACAACTTCAAGACAGGGACCATTTAACATCCGGGCCTCTAGAGGGCGCATAGTCTATTTATTGCTCTTCACAGGCATGTAGACTCGGATATGGGGACTGGACCATGGGTAGTGGAGACTGAGGACTCGGCCATGGGGACTAGACCATGAGTAGTAGAGAGTGGGGACTCAGCCATGGGTGGTGGAGACTGCGGACTTGGCTATGGGTAGAGGGGACTGGGGACTGGCCCATGGGGACTGGACCATGGGTAGTAGAGAGTGGGGACTGGACCATGGGTGGTGGAGACTGGTGACTGGCCCATGGGGACTGGACCATGGGTGGTGGAGACTGGTGACTGGCCCATGGGGACTGGACCATGGGTAGTGGGGACTGGGGACAGGCCCATGGGGACTGGACCATGGGTAGTGGGGACTGGGGACAGGCCCATGGGGACTGGACCATGGGTAGTGGGGACTGGGGACAGGCCCATGGGGACTGGACCATGGGTAGTGGGGACTGGGGACTGGACCATGGGTAGTGGAGACTGGTGACTGGCCCATGGGGACTGGACCATGGGTGGTGGAGACTGGTGACTGGCCCATGGGGACTGGACCATGGGGACTGGACCATGGGTAGTGGGGACTGGACCATGGGTAGTGGAGACTGGGGACTGGACCATGGGAAGTGGAGACTGGGGACTTGACCATGGGTAGTGGAGACTGGGGACCGGGGCTTGACCTTGTTGCGTGTGTTGTTGCACGTCAGGTTGGACAGGATCCCCGTGGCACAGGTCAGCATGTTGACATCATCGGATCCCAGCTGTGAGACCAGGATCTGCAGCAGACCATCCAGACCTTCCTGAGCACACACAGGAACACCATCCGTGTTATACTGGGGCCCTCTCTTTATTCTCAACTTACTATTTGTAGTTTTTTGTAATGTCCTGTACTTGTGACTAATAAATCGGTTACACACACACAGCGCCAACGTTATTCCCATCACACAGTCTGCTTCTGTTCGCAAACTTACAGTAAATCTCCATTCCAAATTCACATACAAATTTAGAAAATTAAGAAAAAAGTAATTAGAAAGAGTTTGTACCAAAAAAAAAACGGTTTCCATTTTGTTTTTAAAAACTACAAAAACTTCAAACCCGTATTCAATCAAAGTCAACAATTGTTCAAATACCTCCATAATTTAAAATAGTTTACATGTAAACTCTATTTTACTACTATGCCCCCACTGAAAGATCAAGGCTCCTGTGGACTCACCACCTGCAGGAGGATTAGTGAGGGGCTGGTGCTCTGTGGACTGGGTGCAGCTCTGACTGCCACCCCCCCGACCCAGAAATGGATTAAGGGGAACAAAATGGATGGATGGATGGATACATGTAAACCTCTAAAAAGTTCAGAGTCTCTCATTTGCGAAAAAAGAAAAAAGCTGTACGTTTGGAATCTTAATTTCATCCTCAGCGTTCTCAGAGATGGACAGACCTGTTTGGTGGCTGCGTCTGAGAGGTTACGGAGCGTCCAGAGACAGTTCTGGACCAGTCTGTGGCTGGAGCCGGTCAGGTGCTGCCCCAAGGCCTGCATCCCCCCTGCACGCACACACACACACACAAAGGTACACACACACACACACACACACTCCTATCAACCATGTGGACATATCGTTGATGTAATAAGTGAATACATTAAGCCTTTGACCATGAGACTGACTTTTGACAATCGGTCAAGCTGAAACTGGAGACCCTTTGGTAATTTGAGCCTATATCATTATGACTTCAGCTTTAGTTTGTTCATTGCTATTTACCCACTGTCCCATTGTCTGTTTCATGCCGTGATGATGGGACCCCTGAACCCGGCCTCTTCGACCTGCACCTGTGAACGCTTCTGGGGTGTTTTTTTTTTTTTCATTCTTAATTAAAGAAGCTATACCTAATTTATTTTCTAATGAGTTCATAAAAATGCTTTTTACTACATACAAGTTGTTCATAATCCGTACTTTAATGTAAAACTTGAGCTCATTGATTCAGCTGTGTATGAACTCAGGCGTAAAAAGTGCTGAGTAGTGACTTAGCCAATGATGTGCAGTCAGGGGAGGCAGAGCCTCACCTTCCATCATTGGAAACAAATAATTATTTTAGTTGTAATATATAATTGTTTTCCGCTGTCCTATGCTTTTAATGTATTTTAGGCACGGCTGCATTTTTGATCGTTTCTATTGTCAAAATCGCCAAAATCCTGTATTTCTATTCAAAGAGACGAGGTGAGACAGATCACTCAGTGCACTCAGCTCGTGCTGTTAATGTATCACTGTTTGTTTCTAAATCCTGCTTTGAAAACATTTGTTAAACTTGTCATAGTGTTTAGTAATGTATTGCACGTATGTGTGTCCTATTTATATTTAGTGTAAGTCTTTGGATCGGAGAAGAATGTCTGTGCCTCACCGCTGGGGGGCGATAGTGAGTATGAAGTTCATACCTGAGTTGCCAACAAACAATCAGCCCAAAATGCTTTTTCTTTTGCTGGAAAATGGATGATTTGATTGAAGATTATTTTTTTATCAACTGGACCTTCAATCAAAGTAAGAAATAATATAGACTGAGAGACCACGGCTGGACCGCGGGGGAGGAGTTTGTCAATAGTGTTTTATGTCGAAAACTGACCAGAGATGCTGCAGAACAGTCCTCCCCGAAAAACACTGACACTGCTCAAGAGTTCTGCAACTTGTTTAGTTCATGTTCCTCGCGTCTCTTTCTCTCTCTCCTCTCGTCTTTCTCTCTCCTCGCGTCTCTGCTCGCGGCTCTCTTTCTTTCTCTCCATGGCCTCGCACCAAAATATATTAGTGACATGTTAGTCCCATATGAACCAGCCCGGACTCTGAGGAGCACAGGGACTGGACTCCTGTTAGTGCCCAGAGTCAGAACTAAACATGGGGAGGCTGCTTTTCAGATTCATGCTGCTAAAATCTGGAACAATCTTCCTGAAAATGTGAGACAGGCCTCCTCTCTGACAATGTTTAAAACCAGGTTAGAGACAGTTCTGTTTAGCTGTGCTACAACTGAGGGATTTTATATTTTTATCTTTCTTTTTAATGTTCTGTGATTATTTATGATTTTAATGCTTTCTTGTTTTGTTCAGCACTTTGAATTGCCTTGTGTATGAATTGTGCTATACAAATAAACTTGCCTTGCCTTGCCTTGCATGCCAGACCTATTGTACATATTTTTAGTAGTTGGGGAAACCGGAGTACCCGGAGGAAACCTACGCAGACACGGGGAGAACATGCAAACTCCACTCAGAAAGGCCCTGGTCCGGCCGGGATTCGAACCCAGGACCTTCTTGCTGAGAGGCGAGAGTGCTATCCACTCAGCCACCGTGCCGCCCGTCTACAGCCTCAGTCCTGGATCTACAGCCTCAGTCCTGGATCTACAGTCAGTCCTGGATCTACAGCCTCAGTCCTGGATCTACAGCCTCAGTCCTGGATCTACAGTCAATCCTGGATCTACAGCCTCAGTCCTGGATCTACAGCCTCAGTCCTGGATCTACAGCCTCAATCCTGGATCTACAGCCTCAGTCCTGGGTCTACAGTCAGTCCTGGATCTACAGCCTCAGTCCTGGATCTACAGTCAGTCCTGGAGCTACAGTCTCAGTCCTGGATCTACAGCCTCAGTCCTGGATCTACAGTCAGTCCTGGATCTACAGCCTCAGTCCTGGATCTACAGCCTCAGTCCTGGATCTACAGTCTCAGTCCTGGATCTACAGCCTCAGTCCTGGATCTACAGCCTCAGTCCTGGATCTACAGCCTCAGTCCTGGATCTACAGCCTCAGTCCTGGATCTACAGCCTCAGTCCTGGATCTACAGCTCAGTTCCTGGATCTACAGCCTCAGTCCTGGATCTACAGTCTCAGTCCTGGATCTACAGCCTCAGTCCTGGATCTACAGCCTCAGTCCTGGATCTACAGTCTCAGTCCTGGATCTACAGTCAGTCCTGGAGCTACAGTCTCAGTCCTGGATCTACAGCCTCAGTCCTGGATCTACAGTCAGTCCTGGATCTACAGCCTCAGTCCTGGGTCTACAGTCAGTCCTGGATCTACAGCCTCAGTCCTGGATCTACAGCCTCAGTCCTGGATCTACAGCCTCAGTCCTGGATCTACAGCCTCAGTCCTGGATCTACAGCCTCAGTCCTGGATCTACAGCCTCAGTCCTGGATCTACAGCCTCAGTCCTGGATCTACAGCCTCAGTCCTGGATCTACAGCCTCAGTCCTGGATCTACAGTCAGTCCTGGATCTACAGCCTCATTCCTGGATCTACAGCCTCAGTCCTGGATCTACAGTCTCAGTCCTGGATCTACAGCCTCAGTCCTGGATCTACAGCCTCAGTCCTGGATCTACAGTCTCAGTCCTGGATCTACAGCCTCAGTCCTGGATCTACAGTCAGTCCTGGATCTACAGCCTCAGTCCTGGATCTACAGTCTCAGTCCTGGATCTACAGCCTCAGTCCTGGATCTACAGTCAGTCCTGGATCTACAGCCTCAGTCCTGGATCTACGTACATTAATAAACATTTCTGAACAGTGGTCGTCCCTATGGACCAACAGCTCCTATGTGTTTGTTATTTGGAATTTCCTGTGTTAAAAACGGTTTGCTTTTCTGATTTGCTGTTGATCAACAACTTGGTAAAGACCTTCACGACATCTACTGTTGTGATTTAGGGTGATACAGAAATACATTGAATTGAACCATACTTTTAGATTCTCATGTATGGTACACATGTGCTTTTTCCATGTGACCCATGTTCTTATTGTCCTGCATTAGAACTGGCTCCTCTGACCACTGTTCCAAACGCTTTCCTCAGTCTTTGTGTTTTCTCAATTTGTGATACACTGACGATTCACCAGTGTTGTGCAGGCATTACAGCTCAAAGGGAGAAGAAAGTCATAGATGGTCACTTTAAAGCAGACAGAAGCACTTTGCTGAGAAAGGGACACTACCAAGTGCAGATTGTAGAGGAGGCAAGTTTCTTGGTTTAACTCTGTTTAACGAATTGAAATGGGACAAAAACACTGACACTCCTAAACTAATAATCAATCCCTCTTCTGGCCCCTGGATAAGCCATGTTCCAGCTTCTTCCCTCTGGCAGAAGAGTATTCTTAGAGATAAAGGATATATATCTGTTTTAGGAAAGCCCTTTAATTGTTCTTGGTTTTCACAGTGACACAGTACTTTTTAGCTTGTTTTATTTACTGTATGTACTTGTCTGGTGTTCACTGAGAACTTTTGCACAAGTATTCCAAAGAGGTTTTACTGCAAATGGCAAATGAAATGAATGTGAGTGGTGCAGGCTCCCCTCACCTGCCTCCACGATGGCCGGCTTGTTGCTGGGACACACGGACAGCACTTTGAGCACACGGCTGGTGGTCCACAGCAGCTTCTCATAGTTGTAGTTCCTCATGATGAACACCAGGCTCTCCGGGCCGCCACTGGCCAGGATGATGAGCTGTGCGGCACAACAAGCACTCATCACAAATACTGCTCCAAGCTACGCTCTGAGGACAAAAGTCATTCAGCGTACAGCGTCCTGGAACACTCTCCGTGAACTCCAGAGGGGAAGGATGCACCATTATAGCAGTTTAGTATGTTGTAATAGAGTATTAAAAGCATACATAATGTTATCAGCTCTTTTCCAATACTTCTTTAACTGATAACAGTAGTTCAGTGATATTTATATTTCAATTTCATTTTGATGTCCTGCCCTCCACCGTATTACCAATCAGAAAGTCCGTGATCCGGGTTGCCAGAACTCACCGTGTTGAGCTAATCTCACTGGTAAAGTACCATGTGGTGCAGAACTTAAAAAGGTCTTGTTATGATTCACAAATCATTAACGACAAAACAAGGAATAAACAAGGATTTATATCGGGGCCTTTGTGAAAAAGGTTTTGGGTATAGATTTGTTGTAGACAATAATCTTCAGCTGTTATGGTCCCAGCTGGATTCCTCTGCATATCTGGCAACCTGAGTCAGGGAGAGTGGGAGAGGTTGTTGAACCACTTTTAGCCAAATTTTACATACTGCTCCTTTAAATGGCGTTAAACTATTAAAGCATTTCCAAATTACAACTCAAATTGGGCAGTGTTAGAGCGCGGATATTGAAGGCCCATGGATGAGTAAAGCGGTGAACCATATCCCCGGGCATACCTTGCTCTCCTGATTAGCGTAGGACAGCAGCTGCAGACAGTCGGTGGTGATGGCCAGGAACTTGGGATTGTTCTTCTTGAGGAGCGGGACCATCCTCTGCAGCCCGTCCGCCAGCCGCACCGCCATCTTGGAGCCCTCCTGGTGCAGCAGCAGGTTGTGCAGCGTGGTGATGGCGTAGAAGAGCACCGACTCCACCGTGGAACTGGAACAAAGAGACGCCACTCAACATTCAATTCAAGGTGTGCTTCCTTTTGTGTTAACCTCGGTGAAAAAAGTCCAAAAGTCCAGTTTCATGTTTTGAGTTTGTTTGGTATGGTATAATTTTTTAGTTTTACAGGGACAATAAACATTAGCCAAAAGGAGAGATGCATTGTACCAGGTTGTAGCAGTGCTAATTAACACCTGCGATGCAAAAAGTGATGAAAAATAAGTCTGAAATTGCAAATTTGGCTAAATTTATCTTTAAATGACCAACTATTGACTGGGTTCAAACAAGATTTTAACCAGATTGAGGATTCTGTAGGACTCAAAACAGTTCTCCACAAAATCAATCTGGGACTTCTGCAGGAGAATCCTTTCGGGGACAGGAGGGGCAGTGAGCAGAATACTTCAAGCTGATTGGGCGAAGTGACGCTGTTTGCCCGCCTACCTCAGTTTGACGTAAGCCAATCACATTAACATGTCGTCATTGGCGTGCGCCCGGAGAAACCACAAGTTGCACAAGTATCACGTATGACTGCCTTGTGTTTTTGAATGACTTTTGCCTATTTTTAAATAAATGCCGACTTTTAAAATCTGGAACAGTCTTCCTGAAGACGTGAGACAGGCCTCCTCTCTGACAATGTTTAAAACCAGGTTAAAAACAGTTCTGTTTAGCTGTGCATACAACTGAGGGATTTTATATTTTTATCTTTCTTTTTAATGTACTGTGATTATTTATGATTTTAATGCTTTCTTGTTCAGCACTTTGAGTTGCCTTGTGTATGAATTGTGCTATACAAATAAACTTGCCTTTTCTTGCCTTGCCTTGCCATTTTTGTAACTCTAAAGGCAACCTCGGGAACCCAACGCTCATATTTGGAAACAGGCCATATTTCTTTTGCCTCGGCTGGGAACTGCTTGCTTTCGTCAAACCTGGATAACCCGTACAAAACTTCGAGACTGGCCCATGATTGGCTAGAACACCGAGATGTTCTACTCGAAAAATGTAAGCGGGAGCAGTGCAAGATTGTTGTGTGTTTGAGAACCAAGCCCCGGCGATCCAAGATGGCGCCGTATTCAAATGAATGGTTGTGCTCAGTGGCGCGTTGTGCCGGCATGGGGGCTGAAAGATTAGCGGAAGTCGTCTGAAACTCGCAAAGATCTCTGGGAAACTCGGCTGTATTTGGGCATCGTCTGGTCTTCCCGGTTCTGCGCAGTGGATGATCTCCCATAATGCGTTGCGTCAAACACGCGTGTGTGGGTCTCACACCGGGTCTCACGCACGTGCACAGAGGGGCTCGGCCGCGCTCTGACCAATCAGAGCAGTTCATCAGAGCGGGAGTTAGAGCGAGAGCCAGACGAGCAGAGTTTGTGGCACTAAAGTGTGGATTTAAAGGAAACCGAAGGATTTAAGAATAAAAAAAGTTCAGGATGACAAGGGACACTAAAATCCCCACAAAATCCGACCTTTATGAAAGCTGTAGGTTCTCTGTCAGCTGAGGTCGAGCTGTTTTAATATGCATTGAGTTCTATGGGGAAAATTTCTGGGTAGCCCACGTAAGTTTAGTCTGGTTCAGTCTGCAGTACCGCGAGAATCCCCAGAGCACATGAGTTATTCAGCTACAAGCTAGTAATACCCTATCCAGTTATTATAATAGATCCATGTTGAGAACTCACAAATACTGCAAGAACCTGTTTTCTGACTTGTCTGTCTGTATGTTTTAAATTGTAATGAAGTTTGATTAAATTTAATTGATACTCATATTAAGATAAAAAACATTTTTTAGACCTAGTATTTCCTCATTTTTTGCCGTGTGTGGCCCCCTGTGGTCTGACCTGAGCATGTGCACGAGGGCCGGGATGCCTCCGCTCTTGTAGATGATGTCCAGGCCCTCTTTCTGGTGGGACAAGCTGTGGAGGACACTGCAGGCACAGCGGGCGGTCTCCAGCTGGGTCGTGGAGCCCATGGCCTGGACCAGGGCCCCCATCAGAGACGGGGCCTGCACTAGGACCCGCCGGGACGCCTCCTTCCGGGTCAGCTGGTTCACAATGAGGGCCGCTTTGTTCACCACCGCCTGGACTCATGGACAGGACATGAAGGTGAGGTAGGTGTGTGTGTGTGTGTGTGTGTGTGTGTGTGTGTGTGTGTGTGTGTGTGTGTGTGTGTGTGTGTGTGTGTGTGTGTGTGTGTGTGCTTGTGTGTGTGCGTGTGCGTGTGTGGAGCTATGTGCGTGTATGTGTGCCTATGTGTGTGTGCGTGTGTGTGTGTGCATATTTGCGTGTGTATGGCTGTGTTGGTGTGTGTATATTTGTGTTTGCGTATGCATTTGTGTGTGTGCGTATTAGTGTGCGTGCATATGTTTGTCTGTGTGGCTGCGTTGGTGTGCGTATAATTGTTTGTGTGCATATGTGGTGTGCGTGTGTGTATCTCTGTGTGTGTGTATGTATGTGTGGCTGTGTTTGTGTATGTGTGTGTAGCTGTGTTGGTGTGCGTATGTGTTGTGTGTGTGTGCATGTGCTTCTGACGGTGTGTGGCTGTGTGTGTGTATGCATATGTATGTTTGCGTATTTTTGTGTGTGTGCGTATGTGTTGGTGTATGTGTGTGCGTGTGTGTGTGTGCATATTTGCGTGTGTATGGCTGTGTTGGTGTGTGTATATTTGTGTTTGCGTATGCATTTGTGTGTGTGCGTGTGTGTTAGTGTGCGTGCATATGTTTGTCTGTGTGGCTGCGTTGGTGTGCGTATAATTGTTTGTGTGCATATGTGGCGTGCGTGTGTGTATCTATGTGGCTGTGTTTGTGTATGTGTGTGTAGCTGTGTTGGTGTGCGTATGTGTTGTGTGTGTGTGCATGTGCTTCTGACGGTGTCTGGCTGTGTGTGTGTATGCATATGTATGTTTGCGTATGCATTTGTGTGTGTGCGTATGTGTTAGTGTGCGTGCATATGTTTGTCTGTGTGGCTGCGTTGGTGTGCGTATAATTGTTTGTGTGCATATGTGGCGTGCGTGTGTGTATCTATGTGGCTGTGTTTGTGTATGTGTGTGTAGCTGTGTTGGTGTGCGTATGTGTTGTGTGTGTGTGCATGTGCTTCTGACGGTGTCTGGCTGTGTGTGTGTATGCATATGTATGTTTGCGTATGCATTTGTGTGTGTGCGTATGTGTTAGTGTGTGTGCATATGTTTGTCTGTGTGGCTGCGTTGGTGTGCGTATAATTGTTTGTGTGCATATGTGGCGTGCGTGTGTGTATCTGTGTGTAGCTGTGTTGGTGTGCGTATGTGTTGTGTGTGTGTGCATGTGCTTCTGACGGTGTGTGGCTGTGTGTGTGTGTATGCATATGTATGTTTGCGTATTTTTGTGTGTGTGCGTATGTGTTGGTGTATGTGTGTGCGTGTGTGTATAAGTGTGTGTGTGTCTTACTGGGTCCTCGTCCGTCAGGAGCTTGGTGAGCTCGGGCACAGCTCTCGTTGCCAGCTCGGCGTCGTCCTGGTAGTGGATGAGGTGCACGATGGCCTTCTTCAGCAGCTGCGAGGGCTCGGCCAGGCGCTGCACGTGGCTGGGGGGCCCCTCGGCCTGGGCCCCCTCTTCCGGCCCCAGGCTCTCGGGGAACATGGCGGCACGGACCCTCTGCACCCGAGTCAGAGAGCACGGGGGTTCTAGAACACAGCACAGAAACACATCAGAGATAGTGAGCAGGAGCCACCCTCAGTAATGTCACTGATCTGGTAACATGATCAATCCCTTTTCTTCCGCTGGGTTTGGATTTTGATTCATAATTACACTGTACTGTTATATATTATATATTATATATAGTTATATATATATATTAACTGTTGTTAATATAAATATTTAACATGTGATGTGTTTCTTTACATAAAAAACACACATTACTTTACCACATCACCACATGTTCAAAAGACCAACTCATCAAATGAATATAGTATATAATCTTGTTCTTCAGCATGGATATATTATAATCCATTCCTTACATAACCCACATCAACCTATTACATCCATGATATCCACCTGATAGACCAGCTGTAAGCTAACGTCAGTAAAAAGGCGTATGCGCAAAACCCGATCAACGAGTGACCATCTCCACAGAACACCAGGTCACGGAGGCCGCAGTCTGAGCAGAGACACCTGGACTGCCCTCTACACACACTTCCTCCGGGTTAGCCCTAATCCTAACCCTAACCCTAATCCTGAAGTGTTCCTAGGCCATCTGAGAGACATAGTCCCTCGTGTCCTGGGTCTTCCTCCGGTGTGCGATCTAATCTTTTTGGTTCATTATTCAAAAGATCACGATTTGGGAACACTGGTGAATATTTGCGCTTGGAGAGTGTTGGCACGAACAGAAACAGCTTCCGAGCTCCAACCCGGGGTCAGGGCTGTGGGCTGTACATGCTGATGCTGACCTGTGGGTGGCTCAGGGGCCCCGGACGGCTCCTCTTGTCCCGCTGCAGTGTCGCCGGAGCAGGAGCTGGGCTGGGGCAGGCTGCTGCTCTCGTCGTCCTGCAGTGTGGTGGCTCCTGACTGGATGCCCGAGTCTGCGGTGTAGTAGGTCTGCTGCCACTCGCTCACTTTGGCCACGCTGTCTGCATTCACCACTGCACACGGACACAACACAGGGGCCTCAGACAGGGGCCCGAGGAACGACCTCAACCATCACATTACACTGATCACTATGCCCACTAAGGGTCGTCACCAACCCGCAGTAACTCGGGTCTGCTCCGTCCCCTGGTCAGTCAAAGCCCCAAACTCTTGGGGATGAAAAAAAAACCATGTGACTATACTTGCAAGCAAAAGTCAGATCCCATCAAACCTCTGAAGCTAAGTAGGTTAGTACTGTGATGGGAGACCTCTGGGTACAGTAGGACGGCTTTAAAGTGCCCTAAGGCATGACACTTCACCATCATTGCCTAGAATGAGTCTGGTGTGTGTGTGAATAGTTGGTGGTAATCAAAGGGGCCAATGGCACATACTGGTTGCCTTGCTTTGGTCAGTGTGCCCAGGGCAACTGCGGCTACAGCAGTATTTAGTGACACAAACGAGTCCTAACAGCGAGCATTTACAACTTATGACAAATCACATGGACAATAGCAGTAGCAGTAATAGTAGCAGTAGTGGCAGTAGTAGTAGCAGTAGCAGTAGTGGCAGGAGTAGTAGCAGTAGCAGTAGTGGCAGTAGCAGTAGCAGTAGTGGCAGTAGTAGTAGCAGTAGCAGTAGTGGCAGTAGTAGTAGCAGTAGCAGTAGTGGCAGTAGTAGTAGCAGTAGCAGTAGTGGCAGGAGTAGTAGCAGTAGCAGTAGTGGCAGTAGCAGTAGCAGTAGTGGCAGTAGTAGTAGTAGTAGCAGTAGTGGCAGTAGTAGTAGCAGTAGCAGTAGTGGCAGTAGTAGTAGCAGTAGCAGTAGTGGCAGTAGTAGTAGCAGTAGCAGTAGTGGCAGTAGTAGTAGCAGTAGCAGTAGTGGCAGTAGTAGTAGCAGTAGCAGTAGTGGCAGTAGTAGTAGCAGTAGCAGTAGTGGCAGTAGCAGTAGCAGTAGTGGCAGTAGTAGTAGTAGTAGCAGTAGTGGCAGTAGTAGTAGCAGTAGCAGTAGTGGCAGTAGCAGTAGCAGTAGTGGCAGTAGTAGTAGTAGTAGCAGTAGTGGCAGGAGTAGTAGCAGTAGCAGTAGTGGCAGTAGCAGTAGCAGTAGTGGCAGTAGTAGTAGTAGTAGCAGTAGTGGCAGTAGTAGTAGCAGTAGCAGTAGTGGCAGTAGTAGTAGCAGTAGCAGTAGTGGCAGTAGTAGTAGCAGTAGCAGTAGTGGATCAGCTAAAGCAGGTGGTGCCATAGACTGTATGAAGGTGGTACTCACTGGACATCATGCTGGAGCAGAGTGTCGCTGACCTGCAGACACAGACTGACCTGCAGACACAGACTGACCTGCAGACACAGACTGACCTGCAGACACAGACTGACCTGCAGACACAGACTGACCTGCAGACACAGACTGACCTGCAGACACAGACTGACCTGCAGACACAGAGCAGCAGTTAGAACCGGGGTTTCCAACATGTGGGCTGCGATACCATTTTTACTGGCCCCAAAAAGAGTCAATGATTGAATTCAGTCAATTTTCAGCATTTAGATTTATTTATTCAAAAGGGACAATTCTTTTCAGAATTGCACCACTCTATTCTATGGGTTCAAATATCCACATTAACACAACTGTACATGTTAGCATCATGTGATACTACTGTACATGTTAGCATCATGTGATACTACTACATATGTTAGCATCATGTGATTCTACTGTACATGTTAGCATCATGTGATACTACTGTACATGTTAGCATCATGAGCGTACGGGCTAAAGGTAAAGTGACAGTGAACACATGTGTGGTCCATTTGGCATTCTGACATTGTTGCACATTATTGCACCGTTGTATGACACGTGAGGTCATCAGTCTTCATTGTACAGTTTGGCAGCGGCTTGGAGGAAAGTCTAGATTCTCTACATTAAGCTTAAGGAACAAAACGCATTCTGTTTGTTTTGTCTTCGTGAACGTCGTGAGCTGATATCCCACTCTGACATTTATGCTCTTGATCACAGAGAGAAAAGTTAGTGCTGCTCCAGAGCACTGAGGCTGTGGGCACTCACACGCAAGACTGTGCCCAGGCCCTCCCCCATACACTTGGCACACGCACACACACAGACACACTGGGCACACAGACGCACACACTGGGCACACAGACGCACACACTAGGCACACAGACGCACACACTGGGCATACACCAGTGGCAGATCTGGCAGTGGGTTGCCATCTTTGCAGTCTGCCTCCGCGCCTGTAGTTCTGACTGTGGAGACTATAGAACCCGGTCCAAAACACTGTGCTTGTGCCGTTGCAGATCCGGCATGGTCACATGACGCTCACCGCAGCTGCAGCTCCAGCAGCGTGTCATGGGCTGCGGGAGGGGGCTGCGGGAGGGGGCACCTGCAGCAGCTCATGGGCTCTGCATGAGTGAAAGTCTGCTAGTTTGAACTGGAAAGAGCAGGACAATTAGCTGGCCATGTTATTTGGCACACACACTAGGGACACACACTGGGGACACACACTGGGGACACACACTGGGGACACACAGTGTGTGACAAATCAGATTTGATTTGTCAATTTTGCAAAATAACAATAATGTCTCATTTAACATCAGTCAACCTGACTTTTGATAATTGAACTACCATCTTCTTCCCCTTAATCCATTTCTGGGTCTGGAGGTGGCAGTTAGAGCTATGGTGATGTTAAAGCTTTGGTTCTTCAGTGGAGGCTTCAGGCAAAGTGGGGTTAAGTGTCTTGCCCAAGGACACAAGAACAGCAGTCATTAGTGGGAATCGGTGGAGAAGGTCTCCTTATGAATTCGAACCCATGACCTTCTGGCTCAAAGGCCAATGCTCTACCAACTGAGCCACTGTCAATGCATACTGTGTAAAGATAAACTCCATCCTTTTGCTGATGCTGATGTTGTCATGGTGACTGTCGCGTCGATGCTTGGTTTGGTCAGAACCAGAGCTGGAGCATTTCACCTGTTGTACATGTTTTTAGGGATGGGGAAATCGGAGCCCCTGGAGGAAACCTCTGTAGACACAGACAGAACATGCAAACTCCACTCAGAAAGGCCTAATCTGACCAGGATTCACCAACCAGGACCTTCCTGCTGAGCGCGAGGGCTCACCACTCTGCCACCTGATGTCTGACAGTGACATATGACCTTTCAGTGTCTGGGCGGAGCTAATGGACTCAGAGGATGGACTATACCAGGGGCCTCACACTTATGATCCGCCAAATTTAAAACAAAAGAGCTGGTTTGGGGTCAAAAGAGTAGAAGTTGGTTTCTTTTATTAATTCAGTTCAATTCAATGTATTTTTGTTTAACCCTAAATCAAAACAGTCGTCATCACAGAAGACTTTACAAAGTGTATGAATTGTGCTTTAAAAATACATTTGGTTGATGGATCATTGGGTCAGGGTTAGGGGCCTCTCTAACTGGTCGGACTTCTCTCTGTGACTCTGACTCGTACGTAGGTCGTCTGGATGAAGACGAGGCGACGAACATCAACACGACTTGAAGTCCATTGCAGAACTGTTTTATCTCTTGCTGCTTATTTGATCTGATACCAAAATAAAGTTCCTAAATATAACACAGCGCTGACACGAGACGCACACCTCCCACAAACACTGACAAAGGCTCCACTCACACATTTAAAGTAGCAATATGTAAGTTCATGTCAAGTTCATAATTAAAGGGCCCTAATCTGTCATCATTAAAGGGCCCTAATCTTAAATGCATAACTGTCATCATTAAATTAAGGGCCCTAATCTTCAATCTGTCATAAGGGCCTATCTTCATTAAGGCCCATTAATCTGTCATCATTAAAGGCCATAATCTGTCATCATTAAAGGGCCCTAATCTGTCATCATTAAAGGGCCCTAATCTGTCATCATTAAAGGGCCCTAATCTGTCATCATTAAAGGGCCCTAATCTGTCATCATTAAAGGGCCCTAATCTGTCATCATTAAAGGGCCCTAATCTGTCATCATTAAAGGGCCCTAATCTGTCATCATTAAAGGGCCTAATCTGTCATCATTAAAGGGCCCTAATCTGTCATCATTAAAGGGCCCTAATCTGTCATCATTAAAGGGCCCTAATCTGTCATCATTAAAGGGCCCTAATCTGTCATCATTAAAGGGCCCTAATCTGTCATCATTAAAGGGCCATAATCTGTCATCATTAAAGGGCCCTAATCTGTCATCATTAAAGGGCCCTAATCTGTCATCATTAAAGGGCCCTAATCTGTCATCATTAAAGGGCCCTAATCTGTCATCATTAAATGGCCCTAATCTGTCATCATTAAAGGGCCCTAATCTGTCATCATTAAAGGGCCCTAATCTGTCATCATTAAAGGGCCTTAATCTGTCATCATTAAAGGGCCCTAATCTATCATCATTAAAGGGCCCTAATCTGTCATCATTAAAGGGCCCTAATCTGTCATCATTAAAGGGCCCTAATCTGTCATCATTAAATGGCCCTAATCTGTCATCATTAAAGGGCCCTAATCTGTCATCATTAAAGGGCCCTAATCTGTCATCATTAAATGGCCCTAATCTGTCATCATTAAAGGGCCCTAATCTGTCATCATTAAAGGGCCCTAATCTGTCATCATTAAAGGGCCTTAATCTGTCATCATTTAAGGGCCCTAATCTGTCATCATTAAAGGGCCTTAATCTGTCATCATTAAAGGGCCTTAATCTGTCATCATTAAAGGGCCCTAATCTGTCATCATTAAAGGGCCCTAATCTGTCATCATTAAAGGGCCCTAATCTGTCATAATTAAAGGGCCATAATCTGTCATCATTAAAGGGCCCTAATCTGTCATCATTAAAGGGCCCTAATCTGTCATCATTAAAGGGCCCTAATCTGTCATCATTAAAGGGCCCTAATCTGTCATCATTAAAGGGCCATAATCTGTCATCATTAAAGGGCCCTAATCTGTCATCATTAAAAGGCCCTAATATGTCCAAAGGCATTAACAAAACATGCTCTTTTTCAATACTTCTTTAACTGATAACAGTAGTTCAGAGATATTTGAATTTCTAAATTATTTTTACAGCCCCTAAATCTTGTTATTGTTTTCATTTCAGCCAGAAGGGCCTCCCTGAGTCTGCACTGCCCATATCTACAATTCTCCAGCTCCAGATTCAAAAGGCCACGCAAAAGGGAGGACAAATAAATAGTTCTTAAAGCTATAAAAGAGGATTTTCTACTTCCGGGTGGATCATCAAGACTATTGGTCCTCCCATCTGTCAATCATTCTGGTGATACGTGCTCATCAAATAAAACCAGAGAGTTGCGTTCAAAAAGTGGAGAGGACGGGTCTTTCCTCAAATTTGGGAAGAGTCAAGAGACCATTGGCCGCAGAGAGAGAACAATTGTTTCCAAGGGGAGAAGGATCAGTCCCCGCCCCACACCCCCACACACACTCCTCACACTCCCCATACAGATGGGGGTTTAATGAAAAACTCTGACGAAACAGAAATTCAAATGTTGCAGCACACATTAGAGTAAAGAAGCACCAGAACTAAATGCTGCAGCTTGAGTCCTGATTAGAACCAGGAAGTACCATCACATTAGTCCTGGTCTCGGGTCTCTACACTGCTCCTGTAGCTGCTCTGCTTATAACAAGTCTCTGCATGGCCTCGCACCAAGGTACATCTGTGACATGTTGGTGCCGTATAAACCAACTGGGACTCTGAGGAGCACTGACCTCCTGCTGGGACTGAGGAGCACAGGGACTGGCCTCCTTCTGGGGACTTTGAGGAGCACATGGACTGGCCTCCTTCTGGGGACTTTGAGGAGCACAGGGACTGGCCTCCTGCTGGGACTGAGGAGCACAGGGACTGGCCTCCTGCAGCGGCATTTCTAATCTATGCAGCTAAAACTTGGAACCGTCTTCCTGAGGTTGTGAGACAGGCTTTAACCCTGACCATGTTCAAGACGAGGTTGAAAACACTTTGTACTTATCTGTTTTGTCACATTTTTAAGCTCAATACTTTTATGCTGCACTGTTTAAATATGAAATTGTTGTATATTGATGGGTGTAAATTACCTTTATATCTGTTTTTTATGCATTTTGATCTGTGTTTTTATTTTCTCTTGTGAAGCACTTCGAATTGCCTGCACAAACACATTTGGCTCTGCCCATACATGTTGATTGATTGATAAATAGCTGAAATATTTTGAGAATAACTGAGCTCTTCATGCTTGGATCTTTTAGCTTCCTGTGATTTCTCTTCAGGAACATAAATATATGAATACTCTCTGAACATAAGTGTACTGAAAATGACTGTAATGCCATGACCAAGGTGACAGCTGTCGCAGGTGAGACATGCACCTCTCAGGAAGAGCAGCCACACCGGAGGGATGGGTCCGCACGGAGCAGACCGGGATCCGTCTCAGTCCAGCTGTCTCTAGGCCCGTCACCTGCGGGAGTGAGCCATGCGCGTGCACAGACCTCAGCTCCGCAGGTGAAACACGCACGGGCATACACGCACACACGCACACAGAGGCATCGGGAGGAGAGCGCCTGGGCAGGAGGTCAGGGCGGGATGAGGGCCGGGTATGAGGATGGCGGGCGTGCGTGAGGGAGCGGGCACGCGCGGGGTTCATGCGGGTACTTGCCTGGAGACCAGCAGCTCCCCCTCCGTGTGTCCTGCCGCTCCTCGCCGCCCTGTGCCGCGGTGCGCAGCGGTGGCACAGCTCTACACAGACCGGAGCGGACTGGAGCGGAGAGCGTGTGTGCGACAGAGCTCCCACTCCCCTCTCCTCACCACAGGGGGTCTGCAGAGGCGATTGCAGCGCCCTCTACAGCTGTGTTTTGGCAAACCTATGCTGCATATGTGTTAAGCTGTTTGTTCTAAAGAGTTGTGTGTTGTCCTTTATGTATACTTGTAAGTAACAACAACAGCAACAACGTATTCTTGTATATCCCTAAATCACAACAGCAGAAATCTCAGAGACTTAACAAAGACACAAAAAATACACTTATGTATTGGTCCATAGGGAGAGACCAATGTCCATGAATGTTGATGTCCATACATCACAGGGCTCCTACAAGTAAGAGCCCTGTGAGTCGCTACTTGACTCATTGGGCTGAGAGCTGATTGGCTGAGTGAGGGTGGTCCTCTCTTTTTCACTTCTCTGTCTTAAAAAGTTGATCTTGAGATGTGACAAATGCCAAAACACATTTTCAAGCAGTAACTACAGAGATGTCATCATGTCAGTGTTTCATAACACAGTGTTTGCAAGTGAAAGACGCCGACTCGTATATAGTTGAATGAAACGGAGTAATGTGGGGGTAATGTGGGACATTTTTGCATTTTCTCCCATTGAGCCCTGCTGAAATTGTATATCAGTAAAATCTATTCATTTCTAATCAATTCAAGATGTTGTAAAACTGTGGAACAGATCAGAATGTCTTCAGAATAAAGGTCAATGGAAATCAAAGTTGACTCCAGCTACAGAGTAAACCACTTTGGATTAGTTCCAGTTCTATTGTGTTGATGTATTTTCCAGATATTTGTTTGCAGCTGTAGGAACAGTCAAATGAAGAAGTTATTCCAGGTGTTGATCGTTGCTTGTAGATAATTTGTTGTAGTCCATATCTGTCAAGTCTCTGTCTTTATAATCCCTTGTCCATGTTGCCTTTGATCGTAGGCCATGTGTCTGACTTCTTTTGAGTCACAGGTTCATTGATCAAAACTCCTGTGGTCCCAAGTTAATTTACATCTTTGACTAGACCCACGGTTTCTTCTTGACTTGAATCTCACTGTAGTATGTGACACACCTGGAACTCTGGGAAGGTGCCTCAGTGGGACAGCTTTAAAGTGCCAAACTAAACTATTGTTGTGTTCCTTATGTAAGAGACTTAACCCACATTGTTAAGAGGCTGGTGTGTGTGTGTGTGTGTGTGTGTGTGTGTGTGTGTGTGTGTGTGTGTGTGTCCGCATGTGTGAGCGTTACAAGGGCAAAGCAGGATGTTTGTTTGAAAAAAAAAAAAAAAGGATTAGGACGACGCAGTAGTGCAGTGGTTATCAATTGTGCCTCACAACAAGGAGATCCAGGGTTCGGAATCCACCTCCACCTTCTCTCCGTGTCTTCATAGGTTTCCTCCGGGTGCTCCAGTTTCCCCTACCCCTAGAAACAATCAGTTATTTGTACTCACCCTCATCAACATAGAAAATACTAGAAGAAAAGCATATGACGTTTGTTTGTTTGTTACCAAGCAGATTTAATACAAGTCCTCACTTAAAATATCTCATAATAAATGTTTTTTGGTTCTCTGTGTAGACATGAAAGTGAAAAGTATCGGTGCATGCTGCTCCTGACCTTTCTGCTTGACACTGGAAGATTAAGAACAGTCAGTGACACACTTCTTAAAAAGACACGATAAATATTTTTCAGTCTTACAACGTGGGATGGTTGCGGCTTATTCACGTTCAACATTTAATTTCATTCTTAAAAAGTGGCCTTATAATCAGGTGTGCTTTGTAGTCTGTAAAGTACGGTAAATAAATACATTAAAAGCAAAGGGACAAAGGGCCATCAGCTGCAGTTATCATGTTTGTGGCTCCATCATGTGCAGCAGCTTCTCCCCAAGTCATGTTTGGTTTCTGTACGTCTCCCTCATGTCTCCCTCATGTCTCCCTCATGTCTCCCTCATGTCTCCCTCATGTCTCCCACGATTCCAGTGCAGTTTGTATGGGCTGCTGACTTTCTACTGGATCTTTGCGCTGCTTTTATCTTGCCTGAAGCAGTCTCTGGTGTTGTCCACAAATGATTCACCTCTTATTTAACAGACAGATCAAGCTTGGTAAGTCTGGAAAACCTGCACCTCTCAGGTTGATAAAATCCCATGTGGTGTGCCCCAGGGTTCAGTATTAGGTCCAGTCATTTTAAACTTGTATATTCTCCATCTTGGTGGTGTGTGAACAGGAGACAGGGCGTTAACAAGATCCATGACTTCTACATGACTCCTGATGACACTGGCAATGCTTTTTTAACAGAATTTTAGACCTCAAATCCTGGATAGCAGACAACTTTCTCCAGTTTAACCAGGACAGAACAGCTGTTTTAGTCATCTGCCCAGAGAAAGAAACTTTTACCTAAACTCCAAACCCTTTCTTTTAATCTATTGTCACCAGTGAGAACCTTGGGCCTCATTTTTGACTCTTTTGAATGTTTTAATCCCTCACATTAAGAACATCACAAACATAGGTTTCTATCATCTAACTAGGTGAGAGTCCGATTCTCTCTATTTACAATTAGATTTACAATTTAAATTTTTTTTTTAGTGCCCTTAATCAAAACAGTAGTCGTCTCGGAGGACTTCATAAAGTTGTGTATTCGCCAACACAGATTATAGAACACAGAAATGCAATAATAACAAACACATTAGGTCTTCCTATAAAGAACATTTCAGGTTTACAATTACTTAAAAAGGTTTTTATTTTGTGTGTGTTTTATTTCTGTTTTACTTATATTCTATTATTATTTGTAGTGTTATAGTCATGTATGAAAATCCTGATGTTTGTAAACCAAACCCTGACCTTGCTCATCAAAGGAAGACTTATTTATTCATTTATATGTATCTTTTTATTCATACTTTATGAAGGAAACATGCCGGCACATGATCCATACGTAATAAAATAATAACAGAAGTGAGTGAGTCAGAGCAGCGGGACCGGAGGCAGCAGGACCGGAGGCAGCGGGACCGGAGGGTGCCCTGCAGACCTCAGTCTTCAGCATCGTCCTCACAGTCATGAGGCCAAGGGTCCGATAACAACTGAAGGATTGTATCTTCACTCTATTCACATTTCTTTTCTGGTTTTGTTTTGCACCTTGTGTATGAACTGTGCCATACAAATAAACTTTTCTTGCCATACATGAGGGGATTAATGACAGAACCTCCCACAACAGTGGTACAGATAATTCTGAAGCTAAAGGATGCCTCAGAGGTTGTTTAAAAAAAATAAATGTATAATGTAATTGAGAACCAACATGAGAGGTTGTCTTTATCACTGATACAATATAAGTAAATGTAGTGCAGAAACATCTCTTTGGAAACAATGAAGTGGATCTTATCAGATTTTACTCTCCGATGTCATGACCCTGATGGTGAGAGCTGAGAGAAGGGTTGAAGAGCCGGTTTGGCTGACGAGTCATGGGGAGGAGGAGGGTTGCTGCACAAATGAAGGCTTACTGCGCGATATAAAAGCTCGATGCAGGGCACTGCCTAAATGCCGCCAGCTGAGTGTGAGTGACTGAAAACTGATGCGACACAATAACTTGCATTGGGGGTCGTAATTCCTTTTGCAAATACAGGATTACATTTGTCCCAGCCGCTGTTAGACTCCTGAACTCTCTGTAGTATGTTGGTGATAAGGACTTGTGTGTGTTTGGTATTGTATTGTTATATTGTATGGCTCCATTTCATATCTCATTGCTTACGTTACACCTGTGTTTTCATGTTTTATGCTCTATACTGCTCAAATAAATTGTCCCTGATGGAATAAATCTGAATTTGAGTTTTTTTTCCCAGTATAGGAACACATATGTCTGATAAAGACACTCAACATCACGTCTGTGGCCCTGAAGAGTACAGTGTGAGGCTTTTCTTATCAATCCAGGTGTTAAAAAAAAACATGAGCATAAATCAGTTTTATCAAATGTAAGGGGTGTCGATCTCTTCTGCAGATCACACGCAGAGCCTTGATTACAAACCCATGTGTTCTTGGCCAAAATCTAACCAGAACATACTAAGCACATTTCGTGAGCATGACACGACACATGACTGGCTGCCCTAATCATCATCATGATCATCATCTTCATCATCATAATCATCATCATCATCATCTTCTTCTTCTTCATCATCATCAGCAGCAGCAACAGCAGCAGAAGCAGCATCAGCAGCAGCAGCTCAGAGTGACACCTCTCCTCACACACAGCATCTCTGGCAGCAGCAGAGCAGGTCCCGCCCACTGAGGCGCGGGAACAGCGCTGTCACTGCTGTGATTGGACAAGGAGTCTGTGTCTCAGCTCTGATTGGAGAAGGAGGGAGAGCAGCGGGTGAGGAGGCTGCATGTGCCCACAGTGCCACACATGTACCAGGCAAAGAGCAGGGCACGCTCCCCTATTACCCATGATGCATCATTTGTGTTCAGTGCGTACCTCCGACATGATCTTGAAATTATTCATATTTTTGTGTTTTAGAACTTCATGTCATTTAACTTGGAAAATATATGGATTGATTTATTCATGATGGAATAAGAGATGACTAGAATCTGCCAGACTCCCCTCTACATTATCCAAGCCGGACATTTGATTCTGGTCGACACAGATATCGACATGGCGCAGTCTACTTGAAAAGAAGGATTCAGAATCCCCATTTTCAAAACTCAAAGGATTTCAAATGTAAGATTTTCTTAGCTCCATCTGTGTTGTCACAGTCACAAAGCTCATCGTAAGATATTTTAGCACGGGGGTCTCCAACCTTGTCCCCCTGGGCAATTTCTTTCTTGCATCAAAAATGGCAGAGAGCGACTTCCTTAAACAGCTCTTTGAAAAATGAGTTGATATGTTGGGGAGAACAAGCCTGAGGTTTGTTAATGTCACTATAAGTCATTATTTATCATCACTTCAATACAGCACAAAGTTTACATTTACAATAGTTGTGAGCAAGTGGAGAATACATTAGGAAATATCAGGCACATTATTTGATTTGATCATTTCTAAATTCTTTGGGGAGCTACCTGAAAGGGGGTGGTGAGCTACTGGTAGCTCTCGAGCCAAAGGTTGGAGACTCCTGTTTTAGACGGAAACCCTCGGGTTTTGTCCCGATGTCTGTT